AGGTAGATCTTCTATAGATTTCTGCAGATGATTTGATTCTGAACAGCCACCAAGAATGCTATCTGAAACCCTTGAGAGTGTGTGCATTCAGCTTGTGCCTCATCTCAGGTGATTCAGCACACAGAAAACAGAAAGAAAATTAGACTTCTGGGCATTTATATTTGTTTCTTAAGAGACCAAATGCAAAATGGCTCACACTATGTCCCCACAGCGTGCCCAGCCATAGTGCACGTTCCCCAGTTCAGTACCGAGTCTGGCTTTTCTGGGCACAGCAGGCAGAAAACAGTATCAGGAACCCCATACCCCAGCCTCAGGATTTGGAATTATTCCAGAAGGTAGCATTTGGGCATGTTTTTCTAAGTGCCATAGACCAGAAAGCACTGGGTACCTACCTCCGGTGCTGGCCTTCAGCAACCCACTCTGTCCTGTGGCTGAGCTGAAGGGCAACACAGAGCAAGCAACAGCCTCATTACTGCCAGGGGTTCCCAAATAAATGGCACAGTACTTCCACTGAATACTCTGGCAAGGCTCCCTGAGCACAAAGGGAAAGAGCACAGCCCAGTGACTAGCACTAACTCAGGTCCCCACACCTCTCCAAAAGCCCAGGTCACCCAGGCCATGAGTGACCGAGCCAGAAGCAATCCATGATATTTCATTCACAAAAGACATTCCCTTCTTTATCAGGAACCTCCAGCATTTTTCAAGTACTCTTACGCTGACCCTACCTCCTGACATGTGCAAACTCCTTAGTACCAGCATGGTCAATAAAAATGGTAAAAAATCCTTCAGAACCACATGGCTGAAATGGATGCAGATCCCTGGGCCCCCTCTCCTCCAGGCTCAGCTTAGTTACAGACCAGCCAGCAAACCACAAGTGTGCTCACAAAAGAAGATTGCATCTGAAGGGTTTTCACTGCAGCTCTTTGTAACTAGTCACAAACATCTGGTGCCTGGCAAGCTTGCCAGCCTCTTGGAAGGGGTTTCCAGTGAGAAAATTCCTGTAGCTTGCACCTGAATTCTCCACAGCGCACTGTGCAGCACTCAGATCTCTCTCCTCGCTCCTCTTCTAAGCTGCCAGCTTTGTGGAAGCCATTTCTGGCACTGGTTTTCCCATCATGGCCTCCCCACCCACCCCAGCACATTTTAAACAGTGCATGTGGTCTGATGGGGAGCAGTTATTCCCTTGAATGTTCACGAGTTGATAAGCAGTTTTTCAAATTCAAGTGATAGTGCCAGTTCCAGTTTTATTGGCATGATAAAACAGAGATCATGGTGGGGACAGGCCCCTTGGAGGAGGAGGAAATAAGAGTAATTATTTTCTCCTCTTTTACTAGCCCTTTTCACATTCATGTGTGAGTGTGCAGCTGTGCTCAAAAGCCAGTCTCATGGATACTTCCTTAAGTATCTGTTGAAGATTAAATCATCTCATGTGCAGCCTGTAATGATGGCCACTACCAAAAATTGTTCCCATCTGAAAGCTGCCCAGTGCTGCATGATCCAAAACGAGCTACTGACCTCAGAAGAGAACCCAGCAGGCAAACCACCACATCACAGACTTGGCCCTCTGCAGCAGCACTGCTAATTGTGCCCTTGTCTGCGGGCACTGAGTGACAGTGACGGCAGCTACTCAAGGGCAGAACTGTGCTCTAAGCTTGTGTTAATGATTGACTTTCTCCTAAGCCCCATTTCCAGTGTGTGTGGGGAGATGCTGTCCCAGTCCCTGCTGAGGTACTCTTTCTCAAAGGGTCATTGCACCTCTGATGCAATCCCAGTAAAACCAGTACAAATTGTCGCACCCACCAATGTGCAGGCTTTGGATTCGGCCCAGGAAATTAATCAAAGATAATCATAAGCCAAATAACACAAAACCAGACCCAACCTCAGTGCAGGGAAAGGCAAACCTGGCATGAACATGGATGCTTTGACTCAAACCAGCCCCAAAACCAGCATGCATCTGTTGTCACTACATTTCCACAAGATCCTGTTGAAATTACGACCAGCTCCCTGCTGGGGCTCTATTCCCCAGTGAACGTTGCAAGCACCAGCATGGTAAAAGGATCTTGATGGGTAAAAATTGTGCTTCCATTTAGGAAGACCTACTAATGGCACCTTGTGCATCTGTCACTGCATTAACAACATCAATTTGACACCATACATAAGGCAGACAACTGGTGAAGGGAACAGCTTGCTTACATTATGAGGTCTGGCTGAAGGGGCACCTTCAGCTTTGTTTCTCTGGAGGGATTGTGATCGGCTAACAGGAAAGTAGATACTTTCTTGTGGGTATTCATATTTTTGCAGATTGGATTCCTTTTCTGTAGGAAGGGGGAGACCTCTCAGATCAATGTGGAAAAAAGGAGCGGGACACTGTAGAATAATACTTGGGGAGCAAATGGAGCACAATTATAACAATGGTAAAACATACATGTACGTTCAGGAAAGCAGACCTATGGAATAAAATACACAGACTTAGGTTGTGGGGTCACTTCCACCCTCTCCCTCCCAAGAGTCTGGATTTGCCTCCTTCTGCCAAGGAAAACAAGAAAACTAAATATAAAAATGCAGCAATCTGGGGAGCTGCTCCAGTGCCCAAAACGTAGGTGTCTAATGCTGTTTTAGGCACTGCTGGTGATCCAAGACATCTGCGTGGGGCGGGCAGATACAGCACCGGACCTATGTCAGGCTCCCTCCCACCCGGGGCAGCAGCCAGGGGCCAGGCAGGGAACCCTGGGGCATGGAAAAGGGCACTCCATGCCTACATTTGGGCATCTGAACAGCTTCCCCAGAGCCCTGTGTGTTTGGACAGTTGGAGTTAATCATAGAAGAGAAACGAGAAACAGAGCTTCCCTTAGCAAACAGTACTGTGAGATTTGGTAGCAGAGAGGGTAAAATAGAAAAGGATCTGAGCACAGGGGACAGTGCAGCAGAGACAGAGGAGGAGGATGGGCAGGACAGCATCCAAACAGAGCAGCTGCCAGCAGCTCAGGAAAGTTTCAAATTCCTTCTGCGCCACGCCGAAGTTTAGTCATAAATGACAACGGGGGACCTGGGGACAGAGGGGTATTTTCTGAAGGGTGTGATCTGCTGGCTTTTTAGACTCTTCTGTGTTCCACATGTCTGAACGTCTCCCAGACACGTCCTCTGCACATGCTGTGCAGCACAGCCGCCTTGTCCTCCCCGCCTTGCAGATGGGCATCTGGAAGCATGGAGGGATGTTTTCAGCTTGACCCCAGTTGTTGTCTGTGGGAGTTTAGGCCCCGAACTTCCTTTTCATGCCTTTGAAGGCAGGCACTTAAAGAGGAGTCAGACTTCAGCTCCTGGCTTAACCCTTTCACCCTGTGTCTGTCCTCCCTCAGTGGGTAAAATAATGGGTGTTTCTGTGCTTCGTTTGGTGTTTACAAGTTTTATGCAGCAATTAATATTTCTAGTGGAGGAATAAAATAATCACCTAAGGACAGTGTAACTCAGCCTTTCAGACTTCCCATCTCTCCTGGCTCCCTTCTTCCTCTACCCCCTCGGCAATGTGGACAGCCCTAGAATATGGGGTAGCTTAGTGCCCTTCTTAATCCCTACCATTCCTTCCAAGAAGCACCCTGTAGCAGAAAGGGAAAAAATAGAGAAAAAAAACCAACCTTACTTGGAAACTTTAACAAATATTTTCTATTTTGCTGCCCCTGAAATACCAACAAGGAGAAAATTTTGGGTCCTCTCTGAGGTTTGTTTTATTCTCGAGATTTCAGCTCCACCAGCAGCTATATCAGTGCAAATCAAATTACGCCTCCTGTTTACTATCTCCAGAGCGCTGACACTGGCAGCCGAGGCTTATCTCGGCGTGTCAGGAGCCAGCGCCTTCCTCGGGGGTAGGACAGGAACTCCACAGAAGCTACTTGGAGTGGGAGAGGGAGTGTAAATCAGGGAGGGCGCTGCTGCCTGTGCTCCGCAGCACCGGGGCTGCGTTCCCCAGCCCTGCTGCTTGCTGGGGCAGTGCAGGGAAGACGGAGTCCGAGATGCCAAGTGGGGCGGAGGCTGCCTTCTCCCTGTGGATTAGCAGCCTGGAAGCCAGGGTTTGGATTTTAGCTTACTCATTTGTAAGGAAGAGGCAGTGGTGGAGCTGCCCGCAGTGGTGACGGTGTGCTAGTTTGCGGAGCTGGCACTATTTCGCTGTCACCGCGTCCTTCGCGCTGCTCCTGAGGTCGGTCCGCCCTCCTCCCTGGGAGATGGGCGTTATTTCACGGGAGAAATGTGGGCACAGGGGCCGTGTAAGCGCATCCCGCTGCCCAGGAGCACGCAGAGCCCTCCAGAGCTGGCCCAGGCTGACTCAGGGGAGAGGGCACGCCGCATTTCACTCCCATGAAAAGCTTCGTGCCTCAGTTTCCCCCTTGGTGGTAGTGTTGGCTTTGTCCCAGTGCTGCTCAGAAATATCCCGGCAGTGCAGCCTGTAAAACAGAGGCTGAGATATGACCTGCTTATTGCCGTGTTTTGTACCGCCGGGAGCGCCTGGAGCCTTGGGCATGGCCACCACGAGTCCGACAGCACAGGGACAGATAAACTCCACTCGGCTCGTGGATCGTGGGATAACAGCACAGCTGGGTATTAGCATTTGGGTGGAGCGGGGGGGGTCTCATCTCCTTCGCCGCGGGGAGAGTCTGCTGTGCCACAGGACGGTGCAACACCCCAGGTGCCAGCCCTCCAAGGAAAATGTAGTCGAATCCCGGTTTGCCCGGAGTTTGTATTTGTCTTCAACACATTTGGCCCCGCAAAGTGAAACCGGCCCCCGCGCCCGCCGCGGGCAGCGGGGGCCGGCGGGCGGGAAGGAGGGAAGGAGGGAGGGACGGAGGCCGCCGCCCGCCCCCGGGGCTGCCCCGCGGGTGCGGCGGGCGGGACGCGGGGCCGGGGCGGAGCACAGCGGGGCATTCCCGCTGCAGCGCCGGGAGCGAGCGGCGCCCAGGGCTGGGCCAGGGAGCGCGCGGAGGCGCCTCATCCCCTTCTTCTCCTTGCAGATCTTCCAATGGAGGCAGCTGGAGAACCTCTATTTCCGCGAGAAGAAGTTCTCGGTGGAGGTGCACGATCCGCGCAGGTGAGCCACGAGACGGGCCGGGCTGAGCCGGGCTGTGCAGTGCCTAGCCGGGCTGAGCCGGGTGCTGCTCCCGCTGCGTGCGGGAGCTGTGGAACACTCAAGGGAGAGGCAGCGGGTACCAAGCCAGGGGTTGCTGCTTCTTTTCAGCGGGACATGCCGGGTTCTGGTGTGCGTTTTCGAGGATGTGTTTCCCCTCGGCTCCTAGCGGGTTTTTTCTCCCCTTCCCTCTGTTCTGGCATCTTGTGACCCCCGGGACTGTGTGGCTCCGGTGCCTCAGCTGCAGTGCTGGCAGCCCTCGTGTGTGAAAGTGGGGTTTGCCTTGTCCCCGTGTTTCACTCAGATCCCGGAGATGAGCGCCAGATTTTGTACTCACATGCTTCTTTGTAAATAAATATTCAGTAGTGCAACTGAAAGCAGTGGCACAGAACCAGAAGTTTACCACCAGCAGCCTGGATGGAAGCCCATCTGTCTTTTTGGCACAAGAACCTTTTTTTTCTTACTTTGGAATCCTAATGTGAGAGTTCAGGGGACTGTGCTGCATCCCATCAGTGCGTTCAGCACCCCTGGTGTGTTTGCGTTACTGGATGGTTGCTGCATACAGTGAGTGCATGGCTCTGAAAGTTGTTCTGACTAAAAGCAATGTCTCGTTTGCACTCTAAGTATGATACCACTGATGGAAACCATCTCTCTGCTCAGATTGATTTGATGTGTTGCTGGTAGTAGTGTGTTGCAGTGATCAGTCAGCTGTGATCCAGTTTCACCTGTTTCCCATGCCTATCTTGTATTAATATATGTTCTTTTATTAGGAGAATTTTGCATGCAATTTCTATCCTTATTTACCCTGATATGAGCACAGCCACACCACTACAACGGTGCCTGTCTGCATAGGTGCATTTGTTAAAACACATACTGAGTAAAGCAGCTCATGTCGTTGTGCAGCTCCAGGTCAGCAGAACCTCTAAGCATCTGCTTAATATTAAGCATGTAAACAGTCACATGAAATCTAGCAGAGCGAATTCCCAAAGTCGAGAATACACTGGGAGTTATTCCAGCAGCAGGAGCTGGGGGTAGTGCGCTCCTTCCCCCACCAAGGCTCAGAAAAGCATGCTGGAAGTGACCAGCAGCCAGGAGCCCCTAAATGCCCTAAGTTCTGCCTGTTTCCTGAAGGAGCAATTGCAAGAAAAAGAAAGGAAATAGCTCTGGGACCTTAAAATCATAATGACATTTGCAACTTGATGTCTTGCATGAAATGTGACCACACAGAGCAGCCTCTTCTCTCTCATTTGTATTTAGATTATAGGAATTAGTGACACAGAAGAGCTTCCATTCTTTATTCCATTGCTCTGTTTCTCTGACTCAACACCAGGAGGACAAAGCCCTGTCCCGGGTTCTCAGCCTGTTACTTTCTTGCTACAAAGGAGTTAGTTTGGTTGGATTTTGTATAATTTTGATTGGTTTTTGTATCCAGAGCAGCACCATCCAGGTGGAACCGGTACTCGGGCTGTAATGCAGCGTAGCACGTTGCAGTGGTGGGAAGACAGCTCTGGTTGTAGTCTCCCAGCCATGTGGGATGGACTCCTGTGAGGAGTTGTTCAACATGTGGAGGCGGAGGAGTAGCCAACGCAGTGCTCTCTCCACATTCCTCTCCTCCTAGCCAAACCAGAGCCTGAGTCAGCAAAGCCACAGTCAGGAGAGCAAGCACAGCTCTGTGGTTGTGGCCAGGGCTGGGCAGCACAATGTATGTTTTTAAGTCCTGCCTCTGCCCATGGCTTCCTGTCCCCAACAAGCCATTTAACCTCCTTTCACTGCAGTTACTTATCCCATAAAGGAGGAAAATGATACCTTTTAGGGGTTGTCAACAGGATTAGTTCCATAGCACATGTAGCATGCATGGAGAGAAGTCATGGAAAAAACACCCATGATCCATATCTCAGGTCTTCAAACACAGCTGCAAAAAGCAAGTCCACAGCTCTGACCAACAGTCTGCAGATGTCCCAATGGAGTCTGCTGTTTTGATGGGAAACATGTACAGCTTCCAAAAAGGAAAAAAAAAATTTAAATCACTGCTTTTACAGTGAAAAGATGAATGATTTGTAGAATATGTTTCTAAGAATTCAGGAGTGTGAACTGAACAGGATGACACCAGAATTAAGGCTTCAGCCCACGTTTGAGTGCCTTAATTTCCTTAGAGCTTTATGTGCCAGTGTGCTGCAGTGGTTTGTGTCCTTAGACCAATATAAAGCATCCAGAGCTGGATCCACTCTCCAGTCTCAGCTTCAAGAACACCTCCTAGCACAGCCTTCATTCCCTGTCCAGTGACAGAAATGAGGCAGCCCAGCACCATCAGCCGCTGTCCTGTTGCATCCATGGAGACTTTTGTCACAAGAACAATACTGGTAATAGAACAAGGTCTCTAGCACCATTCACAAGGAAAGGACTCAGCACAGGGTAACTCTGAAACATGAGATCCCAGTTGTCTCAGACCTTGTTTGCATTGGCCATGGCTGCTTTCTCAGAAATTTCACTCTGATTTGTAGCTCCATAATTTGACTTTAATGCATTTTGAAGCACTGAAAAAGCCCTGATGCAATGGCTGTCAGCCCTCTCCCAGACTGAACATTGCCAGTAATTCTCATTTTGCTGCAGTTCTGGTTTTCTTTCATTCTTGGCCCTATCACAACTTTCTTCAACTGTTCACCTCTCCATGTCCACCTCCAACTTTGGACAAGGCAGTGGCCCACAAGCACCAGAAGAGAGGTGGCCAGTGCAAATACAGGTGCAGGAGGGGAACCTTAGCAGGCTTGAGGACTTGTGAGTGCTGGTGAACAGAGCTGACTCCCCCTTGCATGGCACAGCAGAGCTGCTGGGCTGTCCTGCTGTGTCACCTCCACACCTGCATGGCTCAGGGTCCCTGCTGACTGTGGACTCTGGCACCTCTCTGTAGCACACCCCAGGCTGTCTCATGCACTGGTCCCTCTTCATCATCCATGTTCCTAAAAGTGTCACATTTCTGAGTGAGCCTCTGTACTCATGTCACATCATTTCATAATCCTACTCCACCACAACACCCATCTTGACAGACTGGAGAGGAGGCCCTCATTTATTTGGGGCTCTGTAGGTCAGTGATGTGGTTTATTCCAGCCAGAGCTCCATCCCTGCAATGGGAGGAGTTCCACAGATTCAGGCTGAGAGCCTGGATCTGCACTGTGCTGGTGTCAGGAGCTCTGCTGGTGGGGTTGCTTTTGAGGGATGGGGAGGAATAATCAAGCAGGTTTGTACAGCTGTGTAAGCATGGGGAAACCTAACCTGTGTTTTTTTGCTAATGTTTGAGAACAATTGGGAGTCCCAGAGAGGAAATATTTAGCTCTTATTTTTCCTGTTTTTAAATTCACTCAGCTAATCACTGAGTCCCATTCTTCTCTCCAGGGCACTAGGCAGCCCCCTCTGAGCCTCACAACTCCCTGCCCCCATACCATGTGGCAAATCCTGCTACATCTGTTTACAAGTGGGGAAATCAAGGTTCATTAAAAGTTCCTCACACACTCCCTAAAGCAGCCTTTGATCCTGTGGATCTTTAGTTGTTACGTGTATCCTAATATTTGTGAGCCACTGTCCAAAGCCAGAGGCAGTGGAGGGTGTGAGCACTTGGGCTCAGATGTCTCTGCATGTGATGAGACACAGAGGATTCATGCAGGCTTTGGCCTTGGTGGCTCACCTGGGATATGCAGCAAGTCAGCATCAACCAAATCCAGGGATACAGTCTGAGCTGGGCAAACTGGATGATATTTACTGTTAGTCCTCTGGAGATTCCTATCTTGAGGAGATATTTGAAGTAAATGCTCTCCTGGCTCGATTAGATATTTGTTACTGGTTTCTAAGCATTTTTTTCCCATTAACACAAGGGTGTACACAGTAAAGACAGCAGCTTTTACTATGAGATCTGTGACAGCTTCTGCCACAGAAAGCAATCTGGTGAAACCTTTGTGTAACCCTAGTTCATCCTTTTCTCCTCTCCAGGGCATCTGTGACCAGGAGGACTTTTGGGCATAGTGGCATTGCTGTGCATACGTGGTACGCCTGTCCAGCATTAATAAAGTCTATCTGGGCTATGGCCATTAGTCAACATCAGTTCTACCTGGACAGGAAGCAAAGCAAGGTAAGCATGAGAAGTGCCAGTTGTAGTGGGTGAATCTTTCTCAGTCCCCATAGTCCCAGCCACATCAAGTCTAGATGGTGGCTTCTTTTCTGCCCTCCCTTTCTGTTCATGATCAAAAAAAAAAAAAAAAGGCTTATTGACTGAAGATATGTTCTAGTCCTGACCAGATTGAGAAATTTTGTATTCCAATTCATGCCTATAGGAGTAAGGATTGAGGAAAGATTGTATTGAACTGTGGCCAAATCGAAGGAGCCAAAGTTAGCAAGGAGATGGGGTCAACATCCCTGTCTGGATGGCTTCCACGTCTTCTGCGTCTGTCATAAAGTTAGGGCAGCTTCCAATAACTGAGTTCAAAGTAGCTTCACAACCTACAACTGTCTCTGGATTCTTCTTGCTGTCCCTTGATTTTTACTATTGTATTTTCCTGGAAAGGAGGGGTAGGGATATTATTTTAGCAGGGGGCAGGAGGCTTGACAGCCTAGCTGTACAAGGAGCTGTCACAAACTGGTGCTGCACAAAGGGCCACGCAACACAAAACAAGCCACCTTGAAACCAGAGGAGTATGTGTTCTTCCTCTTAATTCTTTTCATCAGTAATTTTAGGCATACCCAGAGCAGCAGGAGATTGCTTTGATCACTTTGAGATTACTTTGATACAGAGAAAAGACTTCTCAGGCAGACTTCCCTCCCCATATGAGCATGCTGGTGTAAAGCTTCACAGAGAAGACAGTGTCTGTACTGGGTGGGTGCCTGCATTGGTCCTCATCTCTGGTGAAATGGCAGAATGTGCAGGTAATGATCCTCCAAATGCCTGAAACAATCTTAACATCTTGTTTGTTGAAAGCACTGTGTGTGTTTTCAGGCTGGGGGTGCATCATTCCTTGCTCAGGCCCTGGCCCTATCAGACCCCTTCACGAGCCAGTTCAGCCCACTAAACTGGCAGAAAAATAATTATTTTTCCTGCTTTTCTTCAGTGCATTATTTTTTCTGCCGGTTAAATGAATTGAGTTGGCTTTCTGGAATTATGTGGAAGGCCACGAATGTGCTGGTAGTCCCAGTCGTTCTAAGCCCTTCTGACATTGCTTTCCCCATCATAAGCTCTGTGCCTTTATTTTAGAGGAGGTAGGGCTTTTGGATGCCTTGGGTGTGGTTGGAGTCACTTTGGCCATGTTTCATCTAATGCAAAAATCTGGGTTTCACCATAGTTGTAAGCTGTATTGAATTTAGGGATGTAGCCCTGCCTACGTGCCAGCTGTAATATGGACAAAATTGCTTACTCACTGATACCAAGGGAAACTTTCCTGTCCCCCTTCACTGCTCAGGACCATCAGGGCAGTGCATAGTCCTCTCTGTCAACTCAGGGATAAATTTAAAGCAAAGAGAAGTTTATTTTTTTTTACTTTTAGCAAGATGGATTTGCTGATCTAGCTGCAAGGTATTTAGGTCACAAGCAACCAACAAACAAAAGGAGATTCCCTCCTCCTCCCATTTCTTTGGTAAGAAACTGGGTCTCTGAAACACCCAGGACTTCCCTTCAGTGACTCCTTTTGTTGTTGGCAGATTGTGTTTCAGTTTTATCTCCCCTCTCTCACACTCCTACAGGCAGCACCACCCACCAGCCCTCATTTGTCAACCTGTCACGTCTGTGACCATGTCAGCATGCTTTGTCACAATAATCCCAGTGGTCATGCTGAGGCTTTGAAGTTGAGGCATACAAATATTTTTGTCCCTTTCTCTTAAGGGAACCGATATTTTCATCTGTTGTCCTCATCTTTGACGTGACACTGTCAATATTGATAGATCCATCAATTTTAATTGATCAGTTCATCCTGCTGGTCACTTCAAGGACACAGTGCTCATATGAGCTTCACTTTGGGAAACTAGAAAATCATACCCCAGAGTGGGGTGATGTGAAATGTCTTTGGTTCAGCTCTCAGGGGCCTAGACAAACATTTATTGATTTCAGGTCGCATGGGTTTGCAGCCCCTTAAATCTCAGGCCCCACTTCAATTGAATCCTCAACTTCAAAGCAAAACTTAGATATTCCTTCCTTTCATGTCCAAACTTGGCATTTCATATCATTTTGACAAAAGAAAGAAAAATAAAAACAAACTTAGAGGAAAAGGCCTGCTGGAGCTCACTGTACAGCTGAGCCTTTGCTCCAGTGATGTAGATTAGAGGGTGGGAGATGTGACATAGTGATAAAGAAAGCTTGAACTCTGCTCCTCACATAACTGGGCACCAGTTGGATCTGGACCAACAGCTCCACTGGAAATAAAACCCTTCACTTGATTTTAAAAAGAAATAAAATCAGCTTTGCCTGGATTCTGACCCTTTTGCAAGTGAGGTCCCAGCCTCGCTCCATGCTGAACTCCTGCCAGCTCGCCGGCTTCCCAGCGTCTCGCTCCCTGCTGATCTGTCTCTCTCTCCCTGCAATCGAAGCGTAACGTGGAGACTGAAAAGATCCCAGCTTCCCAAGTGAGCTTGTCAGCATGCAGAACTCCTGTCAGCTTCCCTTTTTTTCGGGAGACAGATGCAGCAGGACTTGAAGGCATGTCTTTGCTCTGTTGACTGCACTGAGTCAATCAAACGCTTGGCCTAGAAACCTTGAGAAGTCCCATTTTGTGGGAATTTTCAACACCACATTCCTCCAAGTGCAAGGCTTTTTTGGCTGAATGAACTGGTAGAAATAGACCAATGGTTTCAAAAAATCACCTCCAGCAAAGCCCCATCACTACAGCAAGAGGGATCGATTCATCCCTAGTGTCCATCTTCTTCCTCACTTCACTTATGGGTTTTTCTTCACCCTCTGACCCTGTCAGAACAGCGCTGGGGATCAGTTTAACCCCGTGCTTTGAAATGACTCATGAATGAGCCAGTCTTCCTCCATGTAAATGAGACTTGGCAGGTCTGCGCTAAGTGCTTTCACATTTGTGAGCCTGGAGGGACTGTGGGGCTTGGGGGAGCACTAATGGGGTGTAACCCAGCTTTGCAGTGCTGTGCTGCAGCACACAGCCTGCACGGGCAGAGCTGGCTGCTGCTCAGTGGCCTGTGTGAAATGAGCTGTTGCTCTGATTCCTGCTGCTGCTGAGGGCCTGTCCAATGCACCAGACCAGCTGACGCTGACTGGCATTGCTGTAGGCAGCAGAGGCAGCAGGGACTGAGCAACAAGAAAAATTAACCCACTTCCTTTCAGGAGATGTTTCATCTGCACTGTTCAGTGCAGGGCACCATTAGCACAACCGTGACTGGATCTAAAACCTTCTCCTATGGTTTCAGCAGGTTTGAAGTGTACCCTCTGCAGAGGAAGCTCACTCTGCCCTGCTAATCCTCTCTGCTGGTTTGTTTTTCCTCTCTCCTGGCTCCAGGGATGCCAGGCTTTGGTCTTATATCACTTTTTCATTTGCCCTATATAGGGTACACTTCTAGCCACTGCTGGCTTGGCCAGGACCACAGCAGCACGCAGCAGTCACATTGCCTTCACTCAGCACTTTGGTTGGTGCCCAGTCAGACAGGTAGGGCCAGAGTGTGCCCTAATTTGCATTCTGAAAATGAGTGGAAATAAACTACAGGGCTGCTTGCTGTAACTATCCAAAAAAAAACAGGAAAACCACTGCTTCATGGAGCAGGAGGGATGCATCTGTCCATGCAGACTTGGGGTGTGTGCCTTTCTGAGGCATCCACTGCCAGGACTCTGTGTGTTGGGTCAAGCAGACACTGGGTTTGATCAACGTAGCTGTTCCTGGGGTTATACAAAGTACACATAACCCTACAGATACATAGGGTTATATAGCAAATATACACACCTGCAGGGGATTTATCAGCAGGACAAACGAAGTTGGAAAGCTTGTTACCTCCAAAGGTCTGACATTGCAGCAAGCCAGCAGTTCATGCTTAGGCTTCTAATCAAGGCTTCAGTAGAAGGAAATCTCATTACATAAAAGCAGTGATTTTCCTCTTCACCTGGAGCTAACCTTCCAGAACTATTTGAAGAAGATGTTTCACAGGCCTTGTTTCTGACCAGAAACATCTCATCCAAGAAGCTAAAGAGTGCTGTCCCTCTCCTGGGGCTGATTTTAGGGAGGAACTGCCGGAAATGAGAAGTGTCTAACTGGTTACAGCATTAGTTGAAGAGGGCTGGTACTGGTTGACTGATCTGCTCTGATATCTTGTCAGGTAGTTCAGCCACTGCACTCAAGGACTGTACTGTGCACTCTTGCAGACAAGTGAGAACACATGTCCTGTTATTGGGGTTGTTGTGAGGCATTTGGGTACCTCGGAATAGCAATGATGGAGCCTATAAACACCCAAGAATATTAAATTACGATAATACTTCTGAGAGTGTTTTCAGTGTAAGGCTTTCCCAGTGCTGTCTTCATCTTCAGTCTTAAATTAATCTTAAAAATACAATGTGCCAGAGGGACACATTTTCCTTCCCGTATTATTTCACTGATATGCAAACAGAGGTGGGGATCACTAAGAAATTAACCTTAAGTGTCTTACCCAAAGCCCCACAGTACATCAGTAACAGAACTAAGAAGCTCAGTGGTGAACACTCAGCCATCAATTCAGGCTTATTTCTTGTTGGAATGGTTTCTTCTTCCTGATGATGTGTAGTAACACTGAAGATCCCATCATGACAAGCATTCCTTGTTGTCCTGTTTCATGTTACTTCCAGTGGGAACAGATCACACCCTGCTATGTGGACATCAATCAGCTTTGATTTGTTAGCACAGTAATGATGTGCCCATCTCCTGAGCTGAGTCTCTTCTGGCCTTGAGAAGGTGCAGGGGTGAATGCTCAAGTGATCTTGAGCTGGGGCTTCATCCCCTTTTGGATAAAACTCTTCTTGCAGTTGGAGGGTCTTGGCAAAATGTGCCAACAGCTTTCTGTCTTCTAGGAAATTAAAATTGCAGGTCAGTGGCCCTTCAAGGACAGATTAATTGAAGCTCAGAAGCACAGGGATTGTAAGATTTGAGCAATGGGCTGAGATGACTGTTGGAGGTCCATTTCAACTGAAGTGTTCTATTCTATTCTATTGGTTTACATACTGTGCATTATTTACTGTCTTGTAATTACAGTTTGCAACAGTCTTGTTGACATTTGGTGGAGAACAATAGTTGTGCCCTAATGTGGCCAGTTACTGAGCTGGGCTGGCTGTTGTTTCCTCTAGAGTAATGTTAATGCTTTGCAGAGGTCCCTCACAGTAGGGGCTTTGCATGCAGTTTGTTAGTCTGGACAATAACCTGAATATGTTTTCCTGTCAGTATTTTCTTCCAGCTTCTCATGACAGCCCATTTAAGGCATGTCCTCACTGTGTCTTGTTCCAAAGCTTGATGATTTCTGGCTTCCTTTAGATGCTAGAGATGGTCTTTAGACTTTGAGCTTTTCAGCAGGTTATTATGATGGTATTTCTGAAGGTTTCTTATTGTATGTGGTAAAACAGTGCCTCCATACATCCTTTGTTTAAGAGAGAAAAATGTGCATGGCAAAGCAGAGAAAAACCCAAACAGGAAGCAATGCCAGAATTGTACCCACTTAAGAATGTAAAAAGTCCAGCAGTGAATACTGTGCCAGATTGCTTCTATTCTTGTAAAATAATCCAAGTTTGCTGTGGAGGCCTGTTTCCTGCCACAGCAAAAGGTCTTTTTCTTTCTGTGAGCTTTCAAAAGGCGTTAAATGATTACTAACTCCTGTGTCCACCTCCAGTCCAAGATTCATGCTGCAAGAAGCCTGAGTGAGATTGCAATTGACCTGACTGAAACTGGAACCCTCAAGACCTCAAAGCTGGCCAACATGGGGAGTAAAGGCAAAATTATCAGTGGAAGCAGCGGGAGTCTTCTATCATCAGGTAGGTCCTTTGTCCTATAACTGGAGGTCGTGTGGTGGGAAGGGCCATGGCCATGGTATAATGGGGAGCAGCCAGAAGCTGCAGTGCAGAAATGAAAGCCACTTCCCTTTAGCCTTTCTGTCTGTCCAGGTGGCAGTCTATCTCTCAGCACATTGCTTCACAAACAGCACAGGCAGCAGCCTCCCCCTCACTCTTCACCACCACTCGTTTCCTCCTCGACTCCAGGATGTCATCTCCAACCTCTCAATTTCCAGCTGAAACCTGGTCTCCACAATTTCTGCCCTAACCATCCCTTGATATCCAGCTTATCCTGAGGCAAATGGGATTGTGAAGGAGTGCCCAGCCAGCAGTGGGGAAGCAGTGCAGCTCACAAGGGAAACTGAGGCTGGGAACTGGTGATGTTCCCCAGCATTGTTGAAACAGGGTGTCTTCTTCACTGAGTGCACATCTGCTTTGCCTCTCTGTTGCTGGGATTTGGCTGCTGTCCCAGATCCAACAGAACTGTTCCCTGGCACTCTACCAAACTAGTGCCAGGGTCCTGAAGGTTTCTTCTTGTGGTTTGGAGCACTTCTCTATGTGAGGAAGATGTGAGAGAAACCCAAGGGAAGGTGATGCAGAGGAAAACTAGAGCAGGAGGAGAGAAGGACTGGAGAAGGCAGGTCAGGAGGTTGTGACTCTTTGATACTGTTCTGTCAGTCTGAACCAGGCAAGCTGTATGTAAAACAGTGAGAAATGTCACTGCAGGCTTAAAGATGCAGGTGATACTTAGCAAAAAGCCTGAAGCTGCTTATGTGAGCTTTCCAGGAGGGCAAGGTTTCTGGTATTACCATAATTAACAGTTTCAGACAATTAAATACCTTCTGTTAAGCATCTCAAACATTTATCAAAACCAAATGTGTTGAGAGGTGTAACAGCAGAGAATAACCTTCTCAGGCTTGGACAAAAGAAGAACCTATCTAACAATGCAAATGCTTTAAAACTGAACCCACACTGATGTAGTGGATTAGCTCTGCATCACTGTATCCCTCACGTCTCTTAAAACCCTGCTTGGAAAATGTTTAGCAAAGGGTTAAAATGTGCAGTGCTTCCAGAGCTGCTTGCTGTGCAATTCCTTGCCTTGCCTGCAAACAGAGTTGCCTTTCTGCTCCTGAGCTCTTCCTGACAAAGTATACAATTCACTGTCTGTGCCTCCCATCGCTTGGGGAGTTGCAGTAGCTCAGCAGCTCCCAGATTGGTGTCGGGTTGTTGGAAGTCTTTGTTTGTTTGGCATTTTTTCCAGCACTCCTGCTGGAAAGTAAATAACGTTAAGTACCCCAAGAAAGCTCTTAAGGTCTTTCCAAGATCTCAGCCTCCTGGGCACCATTCTTAAGTTTGTGAGAGCTACTTGGTAGTAATCCTGTTTCCATGTTAATACATGGACTTTTGTGTTCCTGGGGAAAAAAAAAAAAAAAACCACTGGGATCTGCTTCTGCTCCTACACCTGGAGAGAGCAGTAGCCATGTGAAAGTCAGCAAAAAATCAGGCCCAGAAAAGCCAGTGTAGGCCCAGCATCTATCAGGATTAAGTGTATGGAAATTCCAAACTGGGAGCTGCCCATGCTTTTATTTCTGAACTTTTGTGCTCCCTGCACCTTTCTGGCTGAGCACAGGATCTGTAGACTCATCAGAATTGCACTAGTGACTAGACCCAGCCAGAGTTCATTGACCAGGTGAGTCATTTCTTCAGTCCTGGGGAGGTGGATCTGCCTACCTGGGTGCCTTCCTAGGACGGTGTGAACCTCTGTTTCTGTCAGAGTGCTGCTGGTGGGCCAGGCAAGCACAGCTGCCTCTGTGTTCCTTTCTTCAGAGCTGCCTGTTACATCCTGCCAGCTCTGAGGACAGGGCTCTCCCCAAAATGTTGAGGAGAGCTGCAGAGTTTGCTGCGGCTGTGTGCCTTCCAGCAGCTACAAGAAAGTGTTGAGAGAAGATGTCTGGCAGAGGTCAGGTACCAGGGAACTGGAAACACTGGATTGCTTCCACACTCAGACCCCTCTGCTCCAAGATCCCCCTCCCTCAAGCTTGGCTGATGGAGGTGGCCCATCCCTGTCCCACTGGATGGGAGGGGGCATTCAATGTCTGTCCCACTGGGCACAGTCACTGGCTCTGTCCCAGGCTTTGTGTTTCCTCCCATTGTGCCAAAGATTATCGGCACACAACCACAACAATGATGGGTTATCGCAGTACAGCCTGCACACTGGAGAGAATAAGTGCAAATGATTAAGTGGCCACAGTAGACTTCCAGGCTATAAATACCTCAAGTGACTCGAAATCACAAGGTCAGGACTGAATCTCTGTTTGTCCCCACTTCCCTACTATTCTCAGTCATTTTTTTCCTGAAAATTATTGTAGTCATTTCCTCCCTCCATCTCACTTCTCCTCACTGAGGGGGCTGTCAGAGCCATGAGGAGCATGCCAAAACTGGCATGTCTCCCCTGGGCTTGCAACAAGTCTGCAAGGAAAAGTTTGTTGTTGCTTCCAGCTGTCACACTGTCTGGAGAAGATCCTGCTGTGCAATACAAGGCAGTCGCTGCCTCACATCACTTACAGTCTCAAGAGACAGCAGAGGGAAGATGGAGTCTTACACAGGGAAGTGGCTTCCTCACGATCACAGCAATTCAAGACCAAAGCCTCAGCTCCTCCATTTTTCCCACGCTCTTGATCTCAGGCTGTCCAGTGCAGATTTGTAATTTAGATGACCAAGTCCATTTCTGACAAGCTGATTCTAACTTTTGTCCTCATTTTGGATCTGAAGTGGCCTCCCTAGGACAGTGGGCTGCTGTGATTTAGCTCAGGGATCTTCTGCTCAGGATCTGTGGGCCATCCCTGGACATGTGGGGAGAGATTTGACTGTGAGTGAAATCTCTGCTTTCACACAGGCAGGAACCAAATCAAAGCCAGCAGACCAAAACCAGGTTAGTTCTAAGGTGGATTTTTCCTTTGGAGTCTGTGCCATAAGAGCTCTGCAGGTCTCCAGGCTAGTGAGGACCCCTGTATTCTCTGGGTTATGGTTGGGCTGAACCCCAGAGTACCTTCTTCATGTCTGTGGGCAGAGGAGACACCCCAGAGGAGCATCTCTGCTTTAGCTCCACAGGCACATTCAAGGAGCCTCCAGCCTGAGCCCCATTCCTTCTGCAGCAGTGGAGGTTTCCTTTGCAGGGCCCTGTTTATGTTTGCAAACACCGCAGCAGAGTCCAGCCAGGCAGTTCCCAGCCCTGCTGCTGCATCCAGCGGGGCTGTGTCCCAGCTGGGCTGCCCTGGCGGCTGCTGGAGCGGATAAGCAGCACCCGCGTGGCCCACGAGCGAGCGAGTGCGGGGCCGGTGAGGACGAGCGCCCACAGGATATCGGAGCACATCCTGTGTGGAGCAGCTCCAGCTGAGCTCCCTCGCCGCGGAGGAAATCCATGTGTTGGGCAGAGACCAGAGATAGGGGCTGTCTGGGGCTGGTGCTTGTTGTGTGCTGACATCCTGGTGCAGTGAGTCAGCCCGGGTTCTGGCGCGGAGCGAGTGTGGGGGAAACTTCCCTCCCTGCTCAGGGGACCTGCCACAGGGACCTCAGCCAAATCCCAGCGAGCTGGAGCCAACAGCCGGATGTAGTGTGAAGGGTTTGCCTTATTTAGATGTGTTTTTCCTGGAGCGGGAGACTTGGAGAATGAGAAAGAGAAGAGATGCCTGGGTGTTTTTGCCTTGCTGCTGCTGCTCAGCCACCTTGTGGCATCTCCTCTCCTCTCCCGTCACAGTTGTCACCAAGACTTGGCTCTCTCTGCTCTTCAGTATCCCCTCTGTCCTCCCTGCTTTCTCATTCATCCCTTTTCCAAGCTGACTCCACTCTGCTACAATAGATGGAGGAAACAGGGACAACCAATGAGTCACAGGTAGGACTCTTCTCTCCAAAGTGGTGTCTGCTCTCACCCCTTTGGCAGGCTTTAAAGCAAAGCTTGTCTTGGACCCCAGCAGACCTGTACCTGCATAACACTTGACCAGATCCTTCAGGGGTGTGACCCATGTGCTGTGTGTCCCCTTCAACATCACCAAGACTGCCCTGACCTCACCAGTATGGAAGTGAGTAGAACCCAGTCTGCTAGCATTGGTGAAGTTCAGCCATGAATTCTGCTGGAGAAGGAGTTGGACAGGGAGGACCATGTTCCCCCTGCATTTCTCACTTCATGGTCTCCTGAATGTCAGTGGATGAAGAAATCACCCAGAGAGGCCATGTGGTTATCAGAAGATGAGTGCTGCTTCTGCAAATTAGTAGGGCATTACGTGGACATTTAGGTCACCAAGGCCTGTGTCCCATCCTGTATGCTGAGAAAGAAAGAGCACATAAAACAAACCCCAAGTTCGGCAGGTTCCTGGTGCCCACCAGAGAGAAGGCCCCGGTGCCTGCTACCTGGTGTATTTTCACAACCCTTTTTGGTTTAGGGACATCAAATGGTTCTGCAGAAGCGTGTGTTAAAATGCAGAGTTTGGTAAATCCTTGCACTGCAAATGGGAAGGAGGGTGAAAAATAATTTTCACAAAAAGGTTCAAATGCCTTATAGGAAAATTATATATTTCAGCAACATTTCTCCCATTTACTGCATTAAGAATTAACCCTAATTGTGGGAGACAAAACACCTGAGAAAGCCTCCCAGTCAACCATTTCTGTTGCAGCAGGAGCCTCTTGTGTTAGGACTGATCTCTCAGGACTCATTTTTTCTCTTTTGGTGATCCCCTTTGGAAGGCACTGGGTAGCCATGACTCAGTGACCATATCTAATAAGGCTGATTTAAGGTAGTAGCTGCTTGATTGGTTTGATTTGTGCTGGTCTTTGTTTATTTCTTGGTTGTTTTTACGGTATTTTGATTTGTCATGACATTTTTGGGTCAGTTGCCATTGGGTTTAGAAGTGGATCTGTGATCACAGCCTTATTCAAGATAGGATTGATACATATTTACAAATAAAATGGATTGATACATATTTATAAATAAAATGCCTCTAATGGAAGCCATAGGCACCCAGCAATACAAAGCTTTGTTCTCTGCTCATTTACAGTCATCTCATACAGTGGTGGTTCTCTTGACTGATCAAGTTTCCAGTTCTTTTCACCCATGAGAACAAGCCAATAAAAATCTAATAATACACTGCAAAATAATTCAGCTTTTAAATAAAAATTCAAAACCAAACATTAGTGCCAGTGAAGGAATGGCTTTGGTTTCAGCAGTAATCCCATTGCTTCACTCAGAATGTGACAGTGTGCTTCCAGGTCCCCTCCAGTTCCTTTGTTTTGTGGGAGCAGTGAAAAAGATGGCAAAATGGGCACTCAGTGGACAAAACGTGCACCAGTTGTGTCAGGGTTGAGACCAGCATGGTTCTCACACAGGGAAAGCACAGCTGGAGCAGATGCTGTGAAGTGTCTGGGCTTGATTCAGGTCCCTACCAGCTCAGCCAGAAGCCTTTGGTTTCCTTCTTGTGGGCGTACCCCAGATCAGCACAGGGGTCTGGCCAGGCTGTTCGTATGCTTGTAAATATTTCTGTGCAGCTGTTGTGGCAACCCACACAGCAAAAAGGAATAGCTTTTAAAAATAAATCTGAGGCTGCAGTGGAGGTATGGAGCAGACAGAGGAAGGAAAGGGGAAGAGCAGTTGAAAGGAAAACGTAGGTCATTAAAGTTGTCATAAAAGAAAAAAAGAAAAAGGTTCAAAACATCTGCTGGAATCATGAGCAGCTTTTTACCGGGACTCGGCAGTTTGTTGACAAGTCCATGAAGAAATTCAGCAGTTCATTTTTGCTAGTAACTGCTCACCAGGGTTACTATTAAGAATTACTAAGTGCTGGAGAGGAGTTTCCCTGCCAGTGCAAATACAGGGCTCCTCTAGAAGGTCCAATCAAGTTGTTCCAGCACAGACGTGTCTGCAGAGTTGAGTTTTGTTGCTTTATGAGGGCAAACACAAATAAAACAAGGATGAGTACAGCAATTACACAAATGTGTTATTGTGAGGTTCTCCTCCTCTGTCTGATAATGCTGAGTCTGGCTGACCTTTAGGGAGATCTCTTCCACCACCCCCACTTCAGGACAGCCCAGTGAAAGGTGTAAGGAAGCAGAGTGGTGTTTCATTGAATAAATGCCAGCTATCTTCCTTCATGAAAACTGCAGGAAAATACTGGTGGAAAAGATCTGTGAGATTCTCTGCTCCCCCTGAGCCAATGCAGAACTGTTTTGTGGCAATTTTTGCCTCAATCCCCTTTCAGTTTAGCTTTAATGGTCTGCTGGAATAGTAGCAATGAAAGATGAAGCTGAAAGCACAAATTTCACTGTTTTGCTGCCAAAATAAAGAATTGTTCCCAGATTCCTTCCAAAGCTCTGTGAAATAACAGCTTTTTCAACCTCCTTGGGCTGAGTGTTTTCACTGAATGCTTGGAGGCCCCTCTAACCCCCATCTGATGACAGGTGCACAGAAAATTCCATGTAGCATCCTGTTGTATGTGACTCCTGCAGATAATAAAGGTCTGCTTGCTCTGTGCCATTGCTCACGAGGGGCAGGGAGCAGGTCACTGCTGAAAAAAAATGTTTCTATTGATACACCAGCAGCAAAAGGAGGGATAAGGAGAATATCCATCCTTTATTGTGGGGGGGGGGGAAACATAGTGACAAAGGATGATGTTACTTCATCAAGAAGTTCCCCTGAAGAGCTGAAATTACAAATGTTGTCATGACATCTGAGCAACAGAGTCTGACTTAATGCACAGACCTACTTGAGTGGGAGTTGCTGGTAATTGCCACTTGAAAAGCCAAGTCATTTGGACATGCAGTTAAATATCTCGACCTACATCTTCACAAGAAACAGCTACTACTCCAGAAGGAGCTATGGTTGGGGTTTTTGGTGTGTTTTACGGGAATCTTGCTAGGTAATTTTGTTCCATTATAGTTTTTCATAGAACAGGCCCTGTAAGTGGATTGAATTACATGTTTGCTACAAGGGTAATTGCAGTTCTTAAGAAGTAGGCTGTATTGTCAAATGGTTTCTCCTAGACTTAATTTCCGAAAAATGCATCTCCAGGGTTTTGTAAACTGTATTTTGCCATTGGGAGCTTTCATGGGAATTGTATGTGGGTTTCCTCTAAGATCTTTAGATGAATAATTTTACTGCTTTTATTTTTCCAGATAATGGTTACAAATGTCTTTATGTGCTCCACTGTTGAATCTCTGACTGTTAGCTTAAACATTAAGGATTTGCTGTAAACAAACGTGCCTGGGTAACACCTGCTTCATGTCACAGTCCAATTTCTTTTTGGAAGGGCTGCGTCCAGGCTGTGGTAGAATTACAGGCACTCCAGATGTGTGTTCTGCTGTCAGCTGGCCTAGTGAAATCATTGTTTATTGACAGGTTCCCAAGAGTCAGACAGTTCTCAGTCTGCCAAGAAAGACATGCTGGCTGCACTGAAGTCCAGGCAAGAAGCTTTGGAAGAGACGCTGCGCCAGCGCTTGGAGGAGCTAAAGAAGCTGTGCCTGCGGGAAGCGGTAGGCACTGGATGCTTTATAACCTGGAACACTTCATGTCTGATTTGTTACAGCTCCTTGTTTAGAGCTGGGGTGGAGCCAGGAGATGAGATTCCTTCCACAGTCGCCTCTTACAAAACCCACTGTACAATGGCCTCAGGAAGATCCAGCTGTTTCAACCCCAGATTGCAAAGTCCAGGGCTTTTTTCTCCCAGGGAAGGGGACCCCACATCAGCTGGGTACCCTGTTGGCTGGGGGCAAGGAGGGTGCTCAGCATCCATGTTTGCTCTTTGAAATTGTGAATAAATTGCATTCAGCCAGGCTTCTTATTAACTTTGATAAGAATATTCTGCTCTTTAAATGCCACAGGAAGGCTGTTCTATGTTCTGGTCATCACTTCTCAGAGACTTTTTACTCCATTAGCAAAAATAACCCCGAGGCTGGCACACTTTCTTCTTGGAGCAGGCCCAACTTTTATGCTTTTCATGTCCAAGCATGCTCTGCCGTACAGCACACAAGGTCTTATCAGCTCCATGTAGATTGCCTTCATCCAGTCAGCTCTGGCAGTGCTGGAAAGGAATGCCAGTGGACCTTGCAAAGAAGAAACACTGTGGTCATCCCAGGTCATACAGGACAGCTCAGGAACTCATAACCTTCCCACTCACCTGCCAGCTCATTTTGGAGTACATAGGAGGCCATTTAGTGATCAATTCAGTGTTTGGGGAAATCAGCTCTGCTGCAGCTGTGTGTGGAGATTTAGCAGCAGTGTAGTCAGGTCATTCAGCAATCCTCCCATGTTTACCAGGCCTGTGTCTCTGATTTTAATAACAAATTGTGACATGTAACACAACAAGAAGCTGGCTGCAGACAGTGGCACAGAGATATTCCAGTTCTTGCTTAATATTTGATGTGCATCTACCTTTTGACAAAAATGGGTCACTGATTCAGGTCTCATTGCACTTTGTTTCAATTAATGTATAGTTTTAATGCCAAAAAGAGCAAGTTGGGGAAAATGCCTCTCAACAAAGAACGTCAGCAGAAATCTCTGCTGCCCCTGTTCCCATTCTTTACTCCATGGGAGCAATCCCTTTCCACCTGAGAAGTCCTGGTTGATTTCAGCAAACAACTTATGCTGTGAGAAAGGTCACAGGATCAGATCCAATCTCTAAGTCCATTGAGCTGAGATCATCCACAGGAAAAAAAAATCACAGCTCTTCAGGGGCTGACAGTCAAGGTCTGGAGGCTCTACTTGGCCCAGAGGAATTTACTACCCTAAGCTAACCCTGCCTGACTGCTGATGACTAATCCTTGCAGCAGCACCGGATGCAGGGGAAGATGTGCCTGTGCCACAGCTGCAGGAGCTCACAGCCCAGTGCCTTCCCTTTAACCCCAGCCCTGGTTTTGGTGTAGCCTCAGGCACTTCAGGAGCAAGCAGGATGCAGGCAAAAGCTCACACTGGGGCAGGGAGCTCGGGATGATGAGCAGTAACTCCTTAATGTGCTGTGGCATGGCTGGCCAGAGCCCTTCTGTCAGCACATTAAGAGCTGGTAGAAAGTGTTCGTGCTTTCCATAGGTGATTTGAGAGAGGCTGTTAATGGACACTTGGAATCTGACCCCATCTTGCAGCCCTTCAGCTCATCCATCAGCAGCTAGTAGTTGAAAGCTTCCTCTCAGGCTGCCCTTCTTCCTTTCTGCTTTGGCACGGAAATGGCCAAAACAGAGGAAGAAGGTGGCAAACCAGGAGATAAAAAAGAGTTAAAAGTGAGGGCATAATTTAGAAAGCATGGCCAGAACCATTCATAATTCTGGCATCAGGTTACTTTGGACCATCACTACTCCAGTTACTTATTAATTTAGATTACATTTCACGATCGTGCCTTTGAATACTTTTTAGCTTGTGGAGGCACCATGGAAGGCCACATTCATTTTGTTCTGCTCTGATCTTTACAGATTTTACAGAAGATTAACTCTTTACCCACTGCCCTGCTTCATATCACATTAGGAGTTATAAATAAAATATCCCTGTTGCCCTCAGGATACAGGAATCTGTGTCTCAGTGTAGTGCTTAGAGCCACAGTACAAGGAATGCATTTTGAAAGAAAAACTGAAATAACCCCACAGGGCTGGAGGGGCAATGCAGAGTGGGACTCTTGAGACATTGCAGCCATGTCTCTTGCAACAGGGGGCTGTGCACATCATCACAGAGCTCTGCTGCAAACCCATTTTGCTGGGAATTGCTTAAAGGGAGGATTTGAAAAGGCCAGGTCCTTGTTTCCAAGTGACCTGAAAAGAGTAGAAAGAGTAGAAAGAAAAAACCCCATTAGGGAGTGGGGGGAGGCCAGGGCAGGCAGGGACTGGGCTGTGCACCCACACTCACATTAAGGTCAGCTGCTGTTCTTTGGGATTCAGATGATTTAGGTTACTCTGCCAGCTGGATCCTCTCAACACTGATGCTAAGGAGCACAAAAGCCTTTTGTCCTTCATGGGGAGACTTTTGAGTACAGGGAGTGTGGGCTGTGCTGGTAGTCAGGCTTCTGCCTTTTTCTCTAGACAGTTCAATGCCTTCAGTTCAGACGTGTGTGCCTGTATTGTGTAGCCTGAGGGGAAAACCCCACAGCATTAACATCACTAGTGGTGCTGCTTCCTGTTGTCCACATATTCTGAAATTCTGTGAGGTTTGCTTCAGATTTTGAACATATCTTTGCAAATAACCCCATCAGTCTGACAGACTATCAGCTAATAATTGCTCCAAAGCTGCCCATGACATCATTGGGGTTTGGAAAGCATTCTGCATGAAGTGTTATCAGACAGGTAATGAGGTACCAGGCACTGCTTTTAGTGACCATTTCCATTGCATTCCTCTCAGACACATCATGAATCAGGTGGGAATGTTTTTCTGTGCAGGTCATAACCTGCGTGGCTGTTACCACTGCAGCTTTCTGACTCAGCAGACCTGCATCCTGCAGGAAGGCTCTCGGGTCTGCTCACCCCTCTCAGCACATAGGAGCTCTTGGTTCCTGCTCACCCTGCAGCAGAGATGAAAGCTTGTGTGCTGCAAGCCTGCTCAGCCTCAGGCCCTGACGCCCTAGGGATGGGCACCACTTACAGACCTGCCCAGGGCAGGCCACAAAGATCTGTATTCATGCATGGGTTAGAGAGGAGGTCCCCACCCTCAGTGCTGGGTTCTGAGTTTGCAGGGCTGGGTGCTCTCCTGTGTGTTTTATCAGCTGGCTGAACTGGATATGTTGTTGATGAATACCTGTCATTTTAGGGTCACACAGGAGTGGTGGTGTGCTTTGCTGTGCTGCAGGATTTCCCAGAGCACTAACTGCATTTTCTACTTACAGGAGCTCACAGGCAAGCTGCCTCGAGAATACCCCCTGGATCCTGGGGAGGAGCCACCTATTGTAAGGAGAAGAATAGGAACTGCCTTTAAACTGGATGAGCAGAAAATCCTGCCTAAGGGAGAGGTGAGGCTGTGCCCTTCCCTTCCAGACACTTGTCCCCACCTCAGGTCTCTAAGATGTCCAGTGAGCATCACACAGGAGCCATCAGTCCCATGGTCGTTTTTGTTTTAAATTACAGTAATTGGTCACAGTACCCATTTGGGGTTTTTTCTATCCATCAGAATGAGGAAGCAGTGAGAGAGTTGGGGACTTTACTTCAGAGTCAGAGTAAAGGTGGAATGATTGAGGTTCATCCCTTGCTTTTCTAGAGGTAACAGAAATAGCCTGGGTGACCAACTGGACCACGGCAGTGCAAGTGCTCTGGTGACAAAGTGCAGTGATTTGTGTGAGCAGGGAGCACATCAGGAGCCCCCCAAGCCATCTGAGTCCTGCTTCTGCCTGTCTTGTTTTTGCAAACAGCCACTTGCTTTCCACTCCAGTAGCAATCCAAATTCAGGCCCCCTCTAACCAGGGAGAAAAACATCACCATGATCCATCTCAGCCCTGCCACCGCGAGATAAAAGCATTTTGCTCCCCAGTCCTTAAACAAAAGAGCCTTCATCCCTACCTATGGGGAGCTGGAGTTACATTTTTCTAAGTTTGCCAGGGAGTGTTTGTTCCCTTCCTTGCTCCCACAATGTGCTGGGTCAGTGCCCTGAACCGTGGCTGTGAAAACAGGCCTGCAGCAGCTGTAAGGCAGGACGGGATTCACAGAACAACTATTGTCTGTGGAGGCACATTTGTCTCAAGACACTTGTGCATATTCCAGTCTTGAGTTTCCTTTTTATTTTTGTAGGAGGAGAGACCGAAGCTGGTTGCGACTGTGTGGTTTGAGGCTCAGTTCAGCCAGGGAATTAACTGTTTGTCGTTTTGTTGGCATTTTCCTTCTGCTGAAAAAATAAACAGCTGGAGCTCTTTAGTTTTGTTCTCAATGGAGCCTGGGAGAGGAATTCCACCACAGTCAAATATTCATGAACTAGCACATTTAATTAAGCTTTTCAAAGGGAAGCATGTCTTAGCTGAATTACTCCTAAAACCCCTGCAGTCTGTTGGCTGCTGAGTTATAACCTGATCTCCAGCTTCCCCAGCTCCTGTTGCTACAGGGCAGCTTTTGGGGCTGGCAGGTGAGGAATCTCCTTACTCCAGTGGCAGGATTAGGTGTGGAAAGCAGGAAGGTAAAGCAGCTCCTCCCCAGTGCAGGCACTCAGAAATCCAAACATGCTGACTCAGCTTTTCTCTACCTCTCTCTTCATCTGTCAAATTTTAAGGCTGTGTTGAAAACCATAAATTTCTGTTCTCGAAGAATGATGTTGAGCTGTGTTTGGCTGCCAGTTTGAAAGCATTTAGGGAGACTAGCAATGGTTTTCATGCACTTTTCAGCAAGTGCAAACACTGGAAAATCAATTTTAAAAAAAGGTGAAATATTCCCTCAACCACGTAAATCACAGACTGAAATTACTAGCTGTGACAAGGACCTGAAGCAAGGCACTTCCATCTGAAGGCAGATGATAGCTCTCATTTCCTAGGGCTTTATTTATAGGGACCTCACTGGAAGAAAATAGACAATTATGGACAGGAGGAAAATTCATATATTTTTCCTAGGATATACTGAATGATTTAGACCTGAATCTGTGAAGGTCTGAAATGACAGCTCTCACATCAAGCTCACCATACCTTTAGCAAGACCTTTGTCAGATCAAGACTTGCAGGGAAGGGTCCTGGTTTTTCTCTTGGTAATCACCTTTACCTGGTCTGTAATTCCTGACTCTGGGAAGGCTTTTACCAGAAGATGATGAATCAGATTCCAGGCCTTAAAACCCCATCATGTCGAGTTCACTTTTAATAAGTCTGGCACTAACAGAGTTTATAAAGTCTTCAAAGCAAAAAGGGATCTGTTAAAAAGACAGAAGGTGGGTTCATTCTCCAGTGAAGTGAGGGAAATTATAATTATAGTTTTAAGGTAATGCTGACTCACCACTGATAGCAAAAGTATATTTTCTAAGCCAGAAGCCCAGAATAAAAACTTCAGAGAACACTTCAGGCTGATTAAATCCCACAGCATCAGCTCTTACACTGCTGCTGAACAAAGAGAAGATTTGAATTTGCGTAATGGGGATCTCCAGGAATATATGACTGTCTCAACATTCACTAAAAGCAGAAAAACTTGTCTTTTTTTTTTTTTTTTTTTAATTTGGAATGGTCTGGGTTCCTCTTTCTAGCAGACTAATTCCATTGAGCTGGGGGAGGTAGCCAGATCCATTGCAGATTAGCAAAGCCCTTTGAAGCTCACAGCCTGGGGTCCTGGTGCAGACTGGGAAGCTCTATATCAGCTTATGCTTTAGCATAAGTTGTCCTAAGTCACTTCACTTTGGAGGATAACCAAAAATGGATAGGTAGCTTCCAGGGTACACCTGATTGCATTTAAAAACTCAGCTGAGGCCCTGCAAGGGCTAACTCTGAGGGCACTGGTTCTTTCTGGCATACAGAGAGCTTGCTGTTCCACACTGCAGGCTCTGAGATCACCCACCCAGCTGGTAACTCGAGGAAACAATTTTCTGGTGCCACCAGTTGCAGCAGCCCATAATTACTTATGGGCTTATATTTACCCCAAAGTGTTTGGTGGGTGCCAAGCAAAGCTGTCAAGGAAGTTAAAGCTGTGGCTTTGCATCAATACATAGCTGTGAAATGAAATGGGGCATAAATGTGGATATAGAAAACAGGGAGAAGGAGCAGGTGGAAGGCAGGTGTAATCCAGTGATGGGTGTAAAAGGATGAATGTGTAGTAGAGCACTATTGAATTTGACCATATTGAACTGCATGAAAAGTCAAACAGCACATCAGGGTCAGGGCTGGAGCACACGTCCTCCTTGTGTGGGTCATCCCTTCCACCAGCTGTGCTTCCAGGCACTTTGAGAGCAGGTGAAGGCAAGATGGGTATGCTCAGAGAGGCCCTGAGAGCAGCAACATGACTGTGGATGCTTTGCTGATGGAGAGCCTTTGTTGGAAGCCACTGGTCAGGTTCTGGAGATCTTCCACATAGGTGGGTTTGGAGAGTTTGGTGGTAACCAGAATCCACTCGCCTTTCACCAGGAGGCAGAGCTGGAGCGCCTGGAGAGGGAATTTGCCATTCAGTCCCAGATCACGGAGGCTGCGCGGCGCCTGGCCAGCGACCCCAACGTCAGCAAGAAGCTGAAGAAGCAGAGGAAGACATCTTACCTGAATGCCCTGAAGAAACTGCAGGAGATCGAGAACGCCATCAACGAGTATCGCATCAAATCCGGGAAGAAGCCAACGCAGAGAGCCTCCCTGATCATAGATGGTAAGTGGGACTTGGTGCCCACAGCGTCACAGAGGGTGTGTGGAGGGCAGGGAGCAAAATTCTTCCCAAATTTCCCCTCCCTCCTCTTCCCTGTCCTGCCTGGAGGACCGCAGGGGTGCTGTCAGAGGGGGCTGTGCGTTAGGGCTGTGCTGGCTCACAGCAGCAAAGCTGTGTTGTGCCGTGGATGATCAGGGTGTCAGCAGAGCAGGCTGTGACTCCTTTGTTCACCTGTGAAATCGCTCTTGGTATCTCCTCCAGAGCAGTGCAGTACAAATGTAATTAATGTTAGCAGATAGGGGTGAGCTCTCTAGCTCAAAGGCATCTGTAAAATCAAAGTGAGAGCAGTCTCATTCCTGTGTTCAAATATTTCTTTTCATTTTCTTTTTTTTTTTTTCTTTTTAACAGTGTAATTCTCAGGGCACTTTATGGTTTACTGGATTGTTGATTGATTTTTCATGAAATCCATAACTTTCTGCCCTGGTTCTTTCTCCCTTGTGGATTTCCCCTTTCCCTTTGACTTGAAGAGCTTTTCTCTGTGCCTTTGTAGCAGGAACTGAGATTAGAGCTTCTGTATTTGTGACCTGGGTACCAAATTGCATCTCAGTCAGAGATAACAGACAGCCATGAGGACACAGGTTGGGGAGGCAGCTCAAATATCTGCATGCCAAGGACCTGAGAGCTTTTCCTGCTGCTGCAGAGGATGCTTCAAAAACATTTCCTTGAATTCCACAGAACTTGTACTTAGTGTGAACCTTTAGTTAGCCTTTAGTTAGCAACAGGATGATCATTTGAAGAAGATGGATCAAGCCCAGAGTCCTTAAGGGCCAAGATGTAAATCTCACTAATGGCACTGTGCCAGTTTGCATCCTCTGAGGATCTCAGCTCTCTGTTGTGACTCAGTCTTAATCCCCAATTATTGAAAATAGTTAGCAGCTCCTTGAAAGGCAGCCTGGTATTGAGAGACCTGACCTGCAGCTCTGCCCTTCAAGACTGTGAGTGGGCTGAGTCAACCATTCTTAGGAATTTTGCCTCTGATTCTGGTGGGAGGAAGGCTAGGGTGACTGCTTAAGGTTAAGACTCAGTGGACAAAGGTCATGGTGCAGTTCAGCACTCAGTCACTGCAAATCTTGGGGCCATCTGACCATATTTGTATTTTCTTCTCTTCAGAAGGAAACATTGCCAGTGAAGACAGCTCCCTCTCAGATGCCCTTGTTCTTGAGGATGGTATGTTGGCTGCTGTATGTTCTAGAGAGTGGGAAGGGATGAGTGAACTGATTGACACTCCACATGGAATTACTGTTCTGTGTAATAGTCCACTGATAGATCCCAGAAGAAAAAAGCTTGGTTTCCCCTGACTTATTTTGTAGTCAGACATCAGGCCTGGAGCAGTGAATATTGCTGTGGTTACTACTCTGAATTATTTCAAAAGACAATCCTAGAATGGCCCCTTATTTTCCCTTAAGTTTCAGTTGTTCTAAGACATCACACACTCTTGCTGGCCATTCTCTCTCAAAATAAGAATGTCAGCCAGTGCCCTTCTGAAAGTCACGTCTTCAGGATGGCCCTGAGCACAGCCAGGGGAAGCAGGGCAAGGAAGCAGGCTCTGGACGTGCAATGGCACCTCTCAGGGCTGTGCTGCCATTGGAGGTGTCACACAGCCATCACCTCTCTCCCTTCTCTTCACAGAGGACTCTCAGGTCACCAGCACAATCTCCCCTCTGCAGTCCCCACACAAAGGCCTCCCGCCGCGGCCGCCGCTGCACAACCGGCCGCCCCCGCCGCAGTCGCTGGACGGCCTCCGCCAGATGCATTTCCACCGCAACGACTACGACAAGTCCCCCATCAAACCCAAGATGTGGAGCGAGTCATCCCTGGATGAGCCCTATGAGAAGGTCAAGAAGCGCTCCTCGCACAGCCATTCCAGGTGAGCCAGCTCTCTTGAAGCTCCAGCACAGAGATATTCCCTGCTTTCAGCAGGGACAGGTGGGAGCCCTTTCAAAATTTACAAAGTTGTCCCTTACTAAAAGGAGATTTTTGGCCAATAGGCAGGTCATCAAAACAGGCTACAGCCACACGATTGCTGTTTGGTATCTCAATGTTATTCTACAAAACATTTAGAAGGGTAGGATGGTAGATTAGCTGAGGGCTTTGACAGGACTTGGCCTTGACCTCTGGCACTGTAGAAGCACAAGCGCTGGGACACAAGCTCAGAACAGCAGCTGACCCAACTCCCACTCACCCCTGCAAGATCCCAGGCACGTGCCTGAGATCTGGAAGGATGCGTGGGAGCCACTTCCCCAAATTCCTGTGGGAGAGCTGAAGCAGGGTGTTTCCTCTGCAGCAGTCACAAGCGGTTCCCCAGCACCGGGAGCTGTGCCGAGGCGGGAGGCAGCAGCTCGCTGCAGAACAGCCCCATCCGGAGCCTTCCCCACTGGAATTCCCAGTCCAGCATGCCGTCGACGCCGGATCTACGGGTACGCAGTCCGCACTACGTCCACTCCACGCGGTAAGTCTTCCTGGCTCCAGCCTCACCTTGCTTACCCTGAAATAAATTTGCCTTGCTTTATCCTTCCCGCAGGGTATGAATTAATTCCCAGTTCAGGGAAGGACACAAACCAGTCCTGTTCATGTAAGAGGCTCATGTGCTCATGCCAGTAGAGAATCTCTCCTGAACTGACATCCTGAAATCCCTTCAGATAAACACCCTCATCCCTCCCCTGAAGCGATCAAGCTTTTCTTCTGCTTGGACCTTTCATCTCAGACTGTTTATAGGCTCTACAGGCCAATTTTAAAATGCATTTGGTGCTACTGCTAAGTTCTGCAGTAAATTCCTCCATGGATCTGGCTGGAGAGAACATGTTGTTTCCTGTCTGATACAAAATGTTGAATAGTGTTACTTTTCCCTCATGGATAAAATGTTTGCATTTTGTGATGTGTGTGATGTTAGGTGGAGATCAAGAGCAATCCAGCCAGGGACCCAGGTGGCAGTGGAATTTAGCCCAGGGTTGACAAAGGAAAGAGCTGAAGTTGTGTAAGGGAGGTGATTGGATCTGTGAGGCCAAACTTGACTGATTTTCAGCAGGATTTTTACAAACTGTTCAGCTTCATTGCTCTTTTGCTTTTGTGGCAAGCACCATGGACACTGCAGGGAGCAGAACTGATCCAGAGCTGTGTTCTGGTCTGTGTCCTGCCCTAAGGGGAAGTGCTACCATCATTTAGTTCAGAATAAATCAAGAGTTGTGCCAGCACATCAGCCTTGGGCAGAGACAACACAAGGCATTAAAGCTCTGGGTTAAATTTGTTACAAACTTTTGCTGAGGGTACCTTTCAGTGGTGCAATGTCTGTTAACACTGGAGCCAAGTGTATGAGAAATGAGCCTGGCACAGGGCTTGAAAAGTGGCCTTAACTGAGTAGGGGACATTTGGGTGTTTGAAACAACCATTGCTCAGTCTGTAGCTCATTCATGAGCTGCATGCCCTGGCCTTAGCCATCCATCATGTAGATGTGTTTCTGCTCCTTGAATGGATGGATGGAGCTACTCAAAGAGCTGGGGTGAATAGAGACCTCCCAGACTTGGCCATGAATCAAGCCTTGTAAACTGAGATTTGGGGTGGTTGCCTGAAGGGCTGTCTCCAATGACATGCATTACCCATGGCTGGCTCTGAGCAGCACCAAGCTGCTTGACAAGGGGTGACTTTTCAATGACCAGTGGAGAAATCACAACATTCAGGACTAAGTATGGGCAGTCTGTCTGTCTCTCATCAGGTGGATTGTACCCATGCAGGATTTTCATGGGCCACTTGCAAGGGAATCTCACCACCTTTGTGGTCTGTGAGGTGCCAAGGCTTGAGGTTCCCAAGCTTTACCCTTCAGACTGGGCTTTTCCCAGGATGGCATGCCACAGAGGAACTGGATTGGGCAGGGGTTTATGTTCCTCATGGTGCTGCAGACTGAACATCACCACCCAGGAACTGGAGAGGAACAGGAGCAGGACATTATCACCTCAAGCCCTGCAGCAGGGAAGCAGATTGCATTTCAGGTAGCAGCCCCAAGCAGAGCTGGAAGGGTTCAGATTTTCAATGCCCTCAGATTCCTTTGGTAGCTGTGTGTATGGACAGGGATGGGGAATGATTCAACCTGTTGACTTACTGCCTGTTTTTTTTTCTGGTGCCTGCAGGTCAGTAGATATCAGCCCAACCAGACTGCACAGCTTAGCTCAGCACTTTAGACACCGGAGCTCCAGTTTGGAGTCACAAGGAAAGCTCCTTGGCTCAGAAAATGAGACAGGGAGCCCTGATTTCTACACCCCAAGGACTCGTAGCAGTAACGGCTCTGACCCCATGGACGACTGCTCTTCCTGCACCAGCCATTCCAGCTCGGAGCACTACTACCCTGCTCAGATGAACCCCAACTACTCCACCCTGGCAGAGGATTCCCCGTCAAAAGCCAGAGAACGGCAGAGGCAGAGGCACAAATCAGCAGGAAACCTGGTCTCTTCCAATTCAGGGAGCATGCCCAACCTGGCTGCGAGGAACGGGACGGGACACCACCGTGTCTACCTGCACAGCCAGAGCCAGCCCTCCTCCCAGTACAGGATCAAAGAATATCCCCTGTACATCGAGGGCAGCTCCACACCCGTGGTGGTGCGGAGCCTGGAGAACGACCAGGAGGGACACTACAGCGTGAAAGCACAATTCAAAACCTCCAACTCCTACACAGCGGGGGGAATGTTTAAGGAGAACTGGCACGGGGATGAAGTGGACTCGGTCAGGCTCACCCCGTCCCGCTCCCAGATCATAAGGACTCCATCTCTGGGCAGGGAGGGCCACGAGAAGGGCTCGGGTAGGACTGCGGTGTCGGACGAGCTGCGGCTCTGGTACCAGCGCTCCACGGCCTCCCACAAGGAGCACAGCCGCCTCTCGCACACGAGCTCCACCTCCTCGGACAGCAGCTCCCAGTACAGCACATCTTCTCAAAGCACCTTTGTGGCACACAGCCGGGTCACGAGAATGCCTCAGATGTGTAAAGCAACATCAGGTGAGAGCTGAGCCCGGGCAGAGGGGCGGGAGGGATGGGAGCCTCATTCAGCCTCAGTCTGTGCCAGGTGTTACACCCCAGCTGGAGAGCAGTGCCAGAACACAGCACGTTATCTGGCCTGCACACACTGCTCACCAGGCCTGGAGGTGTAACACTGCGGGGCAAGCCTTGTCCGAGACGTTCATCAATGGGAATGTTTGGAAACATCCATGGAGATCATCACTTCTCAATGATGGGCTCAAAAGACAGAGAGGGACCAAAGCCTGGTTATTGCCAGGTCTTTCCTTAGTGTGCAGTTGGGTTTTGGATGATGGCACAGGAAGCTGAAGGTGACAAAGCCATGGGAGCATCACTATTCATAATCACAGCGAGGGGAGCAATGAAGCAAGCAAGAGTTCAGCACAGACTAGGAGAATAAATGTACTCGCTGAAACACCAAAAGTATGAGAAAGGTTAAGTGGGGTATTTTAGCCTCTCCACCCCCCACAAAAATGTTTGAGCGATGACATCTTTGTGCACTGCTGAGACTTGGTTTTCCCATGCAGCTTCAATAACTCTGTTGATAATACCCTGAAACTCAGAGTGCTGAAGTTTTCCAGTAATTTGCCTCTCTGTTATGTACAGAGCGTTGCTGTTAATATTAAACATATATGTTATGTATACCTCTGTGCTGTTAATGTTAAATGATAAGAAAACAGTCAAATTCATTACACTGAGAAGGAAGGCTACAATGTGTGTGAAACAGTCCAGGGTTAAATAAATATTTAGCCATCAGTCACTTATTGTCCAGTCAGTGTGGACAGATCAAGGACTTGCTAAAAACCTGAGCCACATGCCTCAGCCTCAGCCTGGGAGACACCATTGCTCCAGCTGCACTTGCCACTGCCTCCCAGGCATTCCAGTGCATTGTCCACCCGTGCTGGCTGCTGGCCTTCTGCCACCCCATCATGGTGTCCAGTCCATGGTGACCACCACGCTGGCACCAGGGGGACCCTGCACTCGCTGCCAACTCCAGTGGGGAGTCAGAGGCTCCTCATGGGCCACCAGCAGCTGCCCCAGAAGGGGCTGATTGATGTGTGATGCCAACACTCATAGGAGTACCAGGGGTGGACCAAGACACAACTGAGCAGCTGCTAGAACCATCCTGTGTCTCCCTATGAAAATCTGTCTTCCTCCCTTTGGTTGATTGGCATTTCTGTTCCATGCAGCAAGAGAAAATGCTTGAACACTGGAAAGCTTTTGGTTAGCCTTGAAAATGGTACCAGTTCAAGAAAATGGTGGGTTGGGGTGAGAGCACATAAAGATCACTGTTGGTCAGTCCATTCCTTAACTCAGCTGGGGCTTTAAACCTAAATGTGACACCTGTGCAGCACAAGAATGTTCAGTGATCACAGCATGGCCTGACCAGTTGGCAGCATAGATTGCTTTTGTGTTCAGAGTCTGTTTCCAGTCACAGCTATGGGAGGATACTGACCTCAGGAGCTCTCAGCTCCAGAAGCAGATTAAAATTTGGTTTTCCCTTTTGGTGTCATTTGGCAGCAGCTAAAGAATTTAACAGCAGAGAGGGGGGTGCCAGGTAGAAGCCTCCATAATTTCAGCTGATCAGTCCTAGCTGATAGGTCAGTTGGGCTGCACACTGTCCTTCAAAGAGGATGAGACTTCTGGCATGTATTAAATTCAGAGGGTCAACACTGTATAGACTTGAGGAGGAGGAAAGACTAGTGAGGTGGTTTTATTTGCTGGACCCTCACCAGGGAAATTCCCCCAAGAGCCACTGCCCATTTATAGTCCAGCTTGCTTCTGTCTTCGTTCAAGCACGCTAAGCCTTCCTTTGGTCCCTCATAGGACTGTCAACAAAGGCAGGCATTTTTTTACAAATCCGCAGGGAAAGGAAGTTGTAGCTTTTGAAATCTTCAGAGCAGTGTACTTGTCCAGGCTCTGAGCAGTGCCAGCCCTGGCTCCTGGGGACACAGAGCATCTCCCACCACTGCTGGAAACAGGAGGCTGAGCCTGGCAGGCTGAGCTCCTCCAGTTCAGGACTATGGAGTCCAGGCAGCAGCAACCACGTTTCTGTGCTGGGAGAAGTGTGGTGTGTGCCAGGCAGGATCAGGAGAGTCTGAGTGGCTGTATTGAGCTGGAGACTGAGTATTCCTGCAGAGCTGAGGCCAGATCCAGCCTGTGACATGCAGCAGTGTCAGCAGAGGCTGTGCTCTTGTGCCTCGGAACGGGGCGAGGTCTGTCCCAGGCTGTGTTTGCTCACAGCCAGACATGTTTCTGCTGGTCTGACCAGCTGATGCTTCTGAACCACCCTGACCTTTGTGTTCTCACCTCACCAGTCGTTTTCTCCACCCCTGGTTGTTTTCCAGCTGCCTTACCTCACAGCCAGAGGAGTTCCACGCCGTCGAGCGAGCTCGCAGCCACGCCGCCGGGCAGCCCCCACCACATTCTCACGTGGCAGACTGGGTGAGTGTCTGTGGGGTCAGGCTAGAGAATCCACCTCCCTCCGTGCCAGTGAGAAAAAGCTCCCCACACACAAGCACAGCTGTGGGGAATGTTCCCCATGTGCTCCATAGCCTCTATCCACATGGAGCATTTCCAGTCCCCCACCTTGTTCTCTCGTGGTGATGGAGCTCTGGTTTAGACTGAGCAAGACACGGCTGAGTCATCCACACCCAGCACTGCTCCAAGCACTGTCAGATCCACAGGGAAAGGAGCCCTGCAGGTTCCTCCTGCTTGGACAGTCTCCTTGCTTCTGTCTTCTTTGTATGTTGAAATAGCCGATGTTTCTTTTTTAGCAGCTATCACACTGGCTGTCCACACCAAGACCTTGTTGAAAAGGCAAGGTTCAGTGCCTGCCATACCTGTGTGTGCAGCAACCTCATTTTTCTGCTCAGTTTTCCCCAGCCATGTGTCTGCATGACTTTTAAGGGCATCTTTTTTCAGCTACCACTAACATGAAGGTTCTTTACCAGAGTGTGAGGGAAGCATTACACACCCATAGCCATTGCTAATGTAAATACAGTCATTGGGTTCTTTGGCACCTCTTTACAAGGCAGGGAGTAAATAAACACCCTTTTGCAAGCTCCCATGGGTATTCTCTAGCACTCTTTGTCCAGCAATTCTGTCCTGCTATTGAAATAAAGGTCATTTCCAGATCCCATCTAACTCAGCACATCCTAAATTGTGGGATGAGATTTTGGCAAGATCAGCTAGATCTGACAGTCCTCAAAATACCCCAGGATTTTAATGTGAAAACAGATCTGATACCTGAGTCATGAATTGGGACTTAGAAAACATTTCACTGTGCAGCCACTGGAAAATCTCCTGCTCTTTAATTACCCATGTCACCTATGACCAGGTTTGACCTCTGGTTTTACTCCAGCACTGTTTGTGTCTGTACTTTTAAATTGGAGATGAGGAGAACCATAACCACAACCCCTTAGGCTTACCTGGATTTTAAATTCACACATTTGACATCCAGTCTCATATGGTCTTTGCATGTGCTTCCAGCTTTAGAGCAGGAGAATGTTCTTGGTCCCAATTCACAAAAAGTCATGGGATAGCAAGATAGGCAAAATGGTACCTGCCTTTACCATACACTGCAATTTCCACTATTAAGGGTTTGAGACTAAATTCAGATCTTAGTCTCAGTCTCCATCCCAATCCTAATTCTTCTAAATGTCTCAATGATGATGAGAATTAAAGTTGGTGAGCAGCCAGCTGAGACATCTGTTTGGATAATCCCAGCTTTTCTTATTTTTCCATTCAAGCTGTCCTGCACCTTGCCTCTCACACCAAAAATACTTCAAGCTAAATTCTCAGCTGGTGGAAGTGCAGGTACCTGGATTTATAGCTTAGGCCTTGCACCAACACCCAGTGCAAAAAGAATTGGAGACAAATCAACATTTGTTTTGTACCTGAGCATAGCACCCAAGGTGTATGTATATAAATACAGGAGTGGATCCAGTCTGCCATTAGATGCACAACAGATTCCTCCACTGCAGGAGTGGCTGTGCCCACCCAGCACGACTCAACAGATTGACAGTTCTCCCCAACGTGTTTTTGTGTCACTAACTTTTCCTAAAGATGATTCATCAACTTGTTTCCCCACTGGATTAATAAGCTCATAACAATGTCTGTGTCACTTCTTTTCTTTAACATTTCCTCTCTCCTCTTTCCTCCTTTTTTGCTCTCCTTTGTTCAGAGAAGCAACAGACAACTCACCCACTATGGATGAGTCTCAGTCTCCAACCCACCAAAGTACTGATGAATAGAGGTATAGTAAGGGAACGTTTTGTTCTTTCCTCCCCGTGCCCCACAGTTGGCGAGCACAGTGGAGTGCCCGGCCTCCCGCTGTCCCTGCCCTTCAGCCGTGTGCCCTCTGTGTGCCAGCCCTGCCCTTCAGCCGTGTGCCCTCTGTGTGCCAGCCCTGCCCTTCAGCCGTGTGCCCTCTGTGTGCCAGCCCTGCCCTTCAGCCGTGTGCCCTCTGTGTGCCAGCGAGGCTCCCTGCAGGCCTTGGGAGCATTCTCACCCTCAGGGCCTTCCAGCAAGTCCCTGCCTGTGGCATTTCCCCTGTGAAAGGGAATTGGGGCCAGCCTGCTCTGTGTCCCTGCCGAGAAAGTGGGGAGGTGGGGGCAGCAAGCCTGTGGCTCAGGAGAATTGGAATTGGCAGAGAGCTCTGGGAACAGTCTGGGAGCGGCGTGGTGGGGACACGAGCTCGGGTGAGCTCCCGGCCTCGCTCCAGCCACGGCTCCATCACACCTTGCTCCTCCCTCCCTCTGCAGAGCTGAGGCTGTCTGCAGCAGCAGCACCAGCAAGGAGGTTTTATGGAGCAAGGAGCAACCCTGGCCCCATTCCTGTGGGTAGACAGAGGGGGAAGGGTGGAGGGAACAAACTGTCTGCAGCAGCAGCACCAGCAGGGAGGTTTTACAAGGAGCAACCCTGGCCCCATTCCTGTGGGTAGACAGAGGGGGAAGGGTGGAGGGAACAAAAAAACCCTCAGAGTATTTCTATTTTAATTAAAGTCTGACACTCTCATTTGAATCTACATCCATTCACAGCTGGCATCTGTCAAGTACTTCAAGCCCAGCTTTCTAGAGGTTTATCCCATAAACCTCTGTACTCCAGCACAGAGCTGAGAAACAAAAGGCTCTTTAACATGCAAATGTCGATGCCCTTGCTTAGGTTCCTCTCAGACACCAATGCCAGGGAAAGGTGGAAAACAGGGCAGAAGAAGTAGGAACTGCACCAGATGCGAGATCAGTCCTGTGAGGATGGGAGGGAATGTAAGAAGGAGTGAGAATCGATCAGTAAACAGAAAAAATATGCATCTCCTGCTTTTGGCCTCAAAACAGTCTCGAGTTTGGAAGTTGGTTCAGATCAAAGTGTGAGGGAGAGACATCAATTCTGGCTACAACTGCACAGATATAGCAGTCACTTTTCAAAAGATCCAGATTTTGACCTGTTTTCCTCTGGGAAGGAGCTCCACAGCCTAAGCCAGGAGCTGATGCTGGGTAGAGCTCTTAACGTAAATAGCAAAGAAAATTCTTATGAATTGTCTTGTCTACGCAGTCCAGACAAAGAAAAAGCCAGGCAGCAAAAGAAGCAGTACTTTGTCAGGAAAAATAGCCTGAGGACTAGGCTGCTGCAGCAGAACATGGTCCTTTCCACATCAGACCTGGCATGCTCTCACTAGTCCCCTCCTGGTTCATCCCTGGAGAGCCACGACACTCTGGGACTGCTCAGTGATGCACAAGCCTCTGCCCAGAGCAGAAGTGCTACAGAAAGTGCCACAGAAAGTGCCACCACCCTCCTCCTTCAGCATTCCCACTGGGTGATACAGCCCATGTCTGAGTGAGCTGCTCTAAGGACTTGCTCCTTGGAGGACTTGCTCTGTCCCAGCTTAGTGCTGAGCAGGACAGCAGGCAGAGCCTCAGGCAGGGCAGAGGCACAGCACTGCTGCTGCAGCCAGGGCAGGGGGTCTGTGAGTAACCCTGCATTCCTCTCCACCCATAACACAATGTTTTGTGCTTGTGGTTGAACTTCCCAGGAGCACTCACTGTCCTAACAAAGCTTCCTTTCTCCTGCAGGAACTACAACGATAGCTGTTTCCTGGATTCTCCCCTCTATCCAGAATTAGCAGATGTCCAGTGGTATGGGCAGGAAAAAGCCAAGCCTGGAACTCTAGTGTGAACCCCTGACCTCAAGTTAATCACATCAATGCCATTCTGAGATCACCTCACTGCCTCTCATTTGCCTTACCCAGATGCACTGTCACCCAGCACCAGCTTCAACTCTAAGCACTTTTCTCACGATGCAATTCAAGACAACATTTATGGAACACTGGCCCTGAGACACGCACCACGGCAGCGGCGCGCAGCACATCCCGTGCCAGACGGTGCCCGTCCCTCCCACGGCCACGGGGCAGCGGGGGAGAGGAGCAGCCATCCGAAGAGTCAGTTTCAAACCTGGGTTTCCTTTCCTTTCAAGGCTCGTATCAAAGATTAGTGTTCCACAGCACGTAACAGCAGCAAGAGTTCTGTGACCGCAAGCTGAAGCCAACAGTATTAGTCTGAAGGGGGTGGGAATAGGACAGAGGCTGAGAAATAGAGACCATATTCCTGAAAGTGCATCTGTTCTGCAACAGTAAATCCCATCACTTCAGAGATGTGTCAGTCTCACAATCAGGTCAGCACTGCCAAAGAACTCCACACCACTGTTGGCAGGATGAGTTGCTCAGCAAGTTCTAGCTACAAGAATATCTCCCTTCTTTAACTCGATGGCAGACACGACCACCCCCTGCAAAATGGCATTTCCTTCTTCATTTGGAGTCCACCTACACACAAGTAAACAACCCCCTGTGCTGCAGACACACCCGAGGTCTGGGCTGGTATCACAGCATCGCTGTCTGCAAGCCACTCTTGAACTGGACAGACAAGGTTTACAAAGGCATTACCTAAAGCAGAGGCAAGTACTGCACTCACAGCACCTCTGTGGCTGGCACAGAGTGCCCACCAATACATGGAGAGGTCGGAATTGTATTGGTTGTTCTGATACAGATAAAAATTGCCAAAAAAACCTTTCCACGAACAGACGCGGCCAATAAATTGGAATTCTATTTCTGCACAAAGCGTTAACGTGAAATCCAAGGGAAAGCACATCGCGATCGACCTGACACGGCCAAGCTGCGTTCACATACTGGTTCCACTCCTCTTCCCTTCGTTAGCACCAGTGTAGCAAAGGGCTCGTCACCCGTGTGCTGCCGTGTGGGAGAACTGGTCTGTCAGGAAGCAGGAGGGCTCCTGGAGCGGGGTTGGACAACAAGCAGACAGGCAAATCTTCCCTTGTGAGAGAAAAAGGGAAGCGACCGAGCGAGGGTCAGACGAGCGGGAGCTGCCTGCGGCCACCGAGCGGAGCAGCGCGAGCCCGGCCTGGAGGAGCTGCAAGTTTACACATACTTTAGAGCAATGCTTTATACATGTCAAGCCATGGAACTTTCAAAGGCCTCAAGAACACTTTTGTAAGGAACAAGTGCACAATCTAGGTGGATGTTGAAGCTGGCACGTCTTAGTCTTCACTGCGGTGCTATGCTGTTTTTATTGCCACTCGATGGGGGCGGGCGCCCGGCCTTCCCCCGTTGGTGCGTGCAAACGATGATTTCCTATGGGAAAGGCATTAAAAGAAACGGCTGGAGGGGGTTACTTTGTGAAAAGCAGAAACTGAAGTTAGCTTTAGTTTAAGGAAAAAGGAAAAAAAGTGTGAGAGAGTGTGTGTGTGAGTGTGAGAGTGTGTGTGTGTGTTCCAAGAATAACAACAGCGTCTACCAGACAAAGTAGAGCGAAACGTTTCAAATTAAACACCGCGACTTGGGGGGCTGCCACACCTTTTGGTATTAAGATTGCTGGAAAACTGCATTCCAGGCTTTAAAAGAGAATGGGTTCTGTGAAATTAGGCTTTGAAAAACGATGGGGTTTCTAAACATTAATTCAAGCAGCTCATGCCAATTCTTTTCTGCAACTCACACCAGAAGTGTTGGCTTTGGTTCCCTGCACTGCTGCTTTGCATCACTGGCGAGGTGGGGAGGAGGCCTTGCAGAGATGAGGCAGTGACAGGCAGAAAGGCTGTTACTTGTCCAGGGAAACCTGTGGCAGAGCCAGGAGTGGATGGGGCAAGAGGCCAGGCTGGATGGGGCTCTGAGCAACCTGGTCTAGAGGAAGGTGTCCCTGCCCCACAGCAGGGGTTGGGACCGGATGATGTCACTTCCAACACAAACACTTCCGTAATTCTGTGATAAGGAAACTCTTTTATGTTCACACATGAAGCATAAACAAATTATCCCTCTGAAAAAAAACCCACAAAAACACTGGCCAAGGGTTTACAAAGGTGACCACACAAACCTTGTGCTTCTGGGCCTCCCTGAAGCATCACCCGGGAGTGCAGCGCACCGTGACAGTAATTGAAGCCTTACTTTCAATTCTGGAAGAACAGCCAGTGGTGAGATTGCAGCCTTTATCTGGACAAGCAAAATGCTGTTTTCACCATCTCTTTATGCTTTGGGGTCTTTAACATAGGAATTATTTCAAGCTCCTAATTGGATTTTTAGCTGGATAAGAGATAGTACTGATTAATGACATTTACTGATAAGATTTGGTAGCTGAAGTAAAAGGATTAAATAAGGACCAAATTAAGCTACAGCAAATAATTTAGCCCAAGGATTTTTAGGGGCTCTGAGCAACTGTCTGTTTTCTTTTTAATTTCCCTGGTAAGTGGTTTGGGTTTGTTTTTTTTTCTCTGTGTACCTTCTTTTAATTAAAAAGAATTCAACAACAGCGGCACTATGAGGCCTCTGGGCACTACAGGAAGAAACATTAATTCCTCCAAGACCAGCTCTGCAGTTTTGCAGCAAAGGTTAAAAGGTGGCAGCCCTGAAATTAGGGGGGAAATAAAAATAGTTAGCCTGAATTGCAAACAGGCTGAAGTGGAGAAAAAGCTTTCTAGAAACGGATTGAGTTTTGCTTTGTGTTCTGCTTTTCTGGTTTGCAATCAAGGCACATGTGAGCAGCCAGTCTGGTAGTAAAGACAGATTAAGTAAAACAGGTTTTACTGTTTAGCTCAATTCAATTAAACACAAATGTACATAAAATGTTAATCATATGAGATTAACATATTTAAGTATAACACGGAGGGGCATATACATAGCTATTATAGACAAGCACTTGACTACCAACTTAACCCCTCCTTTACTTTTTTATTTTTCAAGGCTCCATCTGCCATAAAGCCACAACCACGTTCAGTCTCTGTGTCTGACACTCCCTCTGTGTGGGCAGGAGCCGAGGGATGGTCCCTGCAGGGGCCGTGCTGGGAGGCAGGGTTTATTTTTAAATGATATTATATGCAGTCGAGTGTTGAAGATGTTGAATCAGTCCAATTTGTTTTCACTCTGTATTAGTTTTAGTTTCAGGCATAGCCGATCCCCATTCAGGTGCTATCAGATGACCAGTTACTGCTTAGTTAACTAGATGTAAAGTTTTACATATATATTAATGTCAATAGTTTTATTACAAGTTGTGTAAAATGGACTCTCTAGTTTAAAAAAAAGGAAAAAAAAAAAGAAAAAAATTAGGTCTCTTCTGAAATTGACTTTAGAGCATGGAAAATGATTTTACTGGATTCTGTTCAACTGTAATCAAGGAAAAAAATATGTATGTTGTAGAAAAAGTTGCAGAATTAAAAAAAATCTGCTTTTAATTTATTCTTTTTGTATTAAGAATTTGTATAGTTACCTTTACATTTTGCAAAACGGTGTTGTCAACACTTCCTTATTAAAGCATTTTCAAAATGAAACCTTGCCATGGTCTCTTTGGGAGGGCAGAGCCCAGACAATCCTTACCACTGCTGGAGATGCTGGTCCAGATGTGTGCACAGCTGGCCAGGGTGTCCATGAGGGACCTGCTCCTTGGCTGACTGCAGAAATCACTGGCATTGCCCCAAAAAAGCCCATCCCTTAGAGACCCCTCGGGATTCAGCACCAGCAGATCCATGCTGGCTCCATGCCATGTTCTCCCAAGCACTGGTCCCAGGGGCTCAGGAGGAGCAAGATGTGACTGATGTCCCACCACTGTGGGAAGCAAAGTCACAAATTATATTTACTTCCAAAACACAACTGGAAATAACTAAAATTAACGCTCACTTACATGGATTGGATGCCAAGTTGCTGCAAGGCTGTTTCAGGCAGGCTTCAGCACCAGCACATTCCCCGTGCTCCAAGGAAGTGCCTGTTTGGTGACTTCCTGAGGGAACCTGCTCAGCAGGGCAGCAGTGACCCCTGCACAGGGTTAGGGACATCTGACGTCACCGTTGTCCCCCTCTGTGGCCCCTTTGGCCACCCAGCACCCCGCACAGCAGGGCAGCAGTGACCCCTACACAGGGTTAGGGACATCTCCTGACATCACCGTTGTCCCCCTCTGTGGCCCCTTTGGCCACCCAGCACCCCTCAAAACCACAGGCAGCTTCCAACAGCCAGAGTCTCACATGGGGCCTCCCACACTTCCAGTGCTTCCTGCTTCTTCCATTTATTCCCACTGTCCAGGGAGCCTCTTCCCCTCCCAGCACCTCCTGTATCATCCACCCAATCCCCCCACATCCCACAGGGAGCCACCAGTGGCAGCAGGCCAGAGCCAGGCAGCCCCTGTGACCATCACCCAGCACTGCCAAGCTGGGAACCATTGCCTGAGGAAATCCCCAGGAGGGTCTGGGATGGACCAAACAGCCACAGCGAAGGTTTTCAGACAGCCCCTGAGCTCTGGGACCTCGGCTCTGATTCCTCAACAGTGACTCCAGTAGTGCTGCAGGTCGCTCTTCACCACCTCAGGAGCAGCTTTCAGGGCAGCCTGCTCCAGACTGTGGAAACCCAGGGCATTGGGAATATTTCTCTGTCTGCTCTGGGGTGCCCTGACCCCCAGGGGAGCACTGACTGTGACCCTCATTCATGGAGAAAGTTTCCTAGACTTCAAGATAGACTAGAATGCACTAAAGTGTGAAATAGATTATAGAGAGTAGTGCAGGTGCATCATTTGGTGAGAAATTTAAGTTTTAGGATTTTTAGTGTGTTGTGGATGGAAGCAAGATGGGGGGCACAGGGTGTTGTCCTGGGCTGCTTCTTCATGCTTCTTCTTCTTTCTTCTTCCTGGGTTTGGGTGGCATTTTGTAGTTGGGCAGAAAAGTCCACACTGCGGGCTCTTTGGGATCAGTTATTGGGTTAAAAGTGAAAATAATCTAGGTGTCAGTTCTAATTGGATAGTTTAGTCTTAAAAGACCTTGTACCAAGAGATTGTTACATTTTGTGCCTTCTAATGAAAAGCTGCGAACTCACAGTAGCGAGACTGTTTTACTGATAAGAAATAATAAACACTTGAGTCCAAACATGAACTGCCAGCTCAAGTGCCTTCAATCCAGACCCAGAGAAACCCACAAGTGGGACCCCCACACCAGGCCTGATACCAGCACTGCCCACCAGCCCTCTCGGAAGGCCCCACGTTGTGTTCTCATCCCCTGGGTGCAGGAGTCACTCTCTTCCCCTGAGAAGTGAAGCCACTTACTCCCCACTCAGGTTCATTCTCTGGGCACGACTGGATTGATGGTGGTGATGTTATGGCAGCCAGCTGAAGAGGAACCCAGTTCCCCCATTAAACTGATCCCACACACACCTACCCTAAGAACCTCTGAGCAGCACAAATAGCAAACAGGGAATTTAAGGCATTTAACCACCACCAGGCTCAATAGTACCAGTCTCAGGCAGGTACCAATAGTTTTAGAGTTCACCTTGCACAGGCCCTTCCACAGCCAGGCTTGGGAAAGGGTCAGGGACTCCAAGAAATAACCAGGAACACTGAAGTCCCAAAACCACTCCAGACACAGCTATGGCGAACTTGTGACTTCATCCTAGGGCTGCAAGTCTTAGGATTCAGCAGAGTTATTTCCGCCTAATGCAAGAATTATCAGAAATAAACATCTGGAAAAGCCCAGAGGGAAAAGTAAATCGCTAAACTGAAACATACCCTCCCCACCAAAAAAACCCCCAAACTGTCAAGCAGTGTGACAGCTGCACCACACCCACTCCTCCCTGAACTAGACTGAGGGTTGGGATTTTTTTGGCTAAGAGGCATTATTAACTATTTGATCATGGTAGCTGCAATTTGTGGCCATCCAGCTGCAAAGAGCCTCCAACCGATGATGAAAAGCAGCTGCTGTAACAGTGTCCCCCTGGCCCCTGTCCCCCGAGGACCAGAGCTGGCTCTCACGTGCTGGACAGCTGGAAATTCTTACACTGATATGCCGTGAGAAAGTAGTTCCCAGCTCCTCAGTTCCCCATACAGCACCATTCCAGTGATTGCAAGGGGATAAAGTTCTTCCGTCATGGGATTCATTCAAGCTGTATTTCAGGGACTGTCAGCAAGGAGGCACATTGCTTCAGCTGCATTCCTTAAAACCTGATCAGACTAAGACATTCCAACCTCAAATTCACATCCCTACAGGAGGTGCATCCCCACTCAAACCAGCACTCAGGGTACCATTAAAATTCTCCTCAATAATTAGCTCCAAGGCAGGAAGGAAAAATCCATCTAGCACTATTACAGATCCTCTAAGGAATCCGCTTCCCGCTAAAGCAGATGATACAATGCTCCTTAAACCATCTCCTGGGTACTCACTTGCTACAGTTTCCAGGGAAATTACAGCTCTTCTGAACAAGGGACAATATTGTCCCTCAATTATTTACAGAGTTCAAAACGAAGGTCAAGATAAAGATTTAGAAACAGTTCAGGAAACCGTCTGGGTGGGGAGAGGGATAAAGTTGCAGTGTTACAAATGTTTCCGCTGTAATAACGCCCCCAAAGAGTATCTGCACAGATCACTTCAAAGAAAATCACCAGAAAGCACTGCTAATGAAACTCTTCCATGCTCTTGACATCTGCCCAGCTGCTCCCCACAAATCCCCATCTCCTCCCCAAAGGCCCTTCCCCCAAGAGACAGCAAGGCCTCATCAGCCTCATTTTATTACTTCTAAACCTTTGACATTTTCTCTGGGGTCAAACAGACCAGACTGAAAATCTCCTGTGTACAAAGAAGCACTTCAGAATCCAAGAGAGTCTCCAGAAGAACCTGAATTTCTCCAAGATACTCATCCCAACTCACATCCCCCAGTATCTCTCACTGTGCCACAGGACACTGGGAACACCCAAGGGAGACAGGTCACTCCTTGAGAAGAGGGCTCCAGTTCCTCCAAGCTGCCAGTCGCGGTGAGGACCCAGACAAACCCATGCAATGGAATAGTGACACAATTCTTCAGGAAGTTGTTCTGCTCAAAACTAACAAAGTTTCAATATTAGACATCATCCTTCCCATGGGTTTCCTCACCATCCCGTCAGGATACACAATGGTAAAGATTTGTGGCTGCTAGAAATACTGTTCACGGTCATGGGAGGTCCTAATTATTTTCTCTGCAATGCCCAGCAGATTGAAAATTTTCTCCAGATGTATAAAAATGGAATTTGAAAGCCTCAAGAGCCATAAGATTACTTCCCCCAAGCCCAGAAGGTTTATATTAAAAATGTCGTTACCAAAAAAAAAAGCGCCAAATCAGATGCGTTCAAGATCAAAAATTCTTTGCACTGAGGCTGAGAAATATATAAACTTTTTTTTATTCCTGATAAATACCACATGAAAGATTAGCCAATAAAGTCTTTATATTTACAGAAATAACCAAGATTCAGATTCAACTGCTTCCCTCTAATCATCTCCCCACGTCAGTCTCCAATGCAAAAGCAGCCAAAAAAAGCCCTCATATGCTCCTTGCAGGGCTGAGACTCATCTAAAGCTACAAAATATGGGAAACAGTTCAATCTGCACAGTTCCCTGAATAACAAACTGAAATAAAAGCAGTTGTCATGTACATTGTCCCTTGGTCATTGTCTTGGTCTTCAACTCTTGAAAACCCATCCCTCTGCTGTACGTTGGATGTGTCCAGCAAAAAGCACAGATTTCAAAATAAACCTAAATAAATGGGGCTTGGAAAAGGGAAGCTGTAAAAAAAAAAATCTCCTTTCTGCTTTTTTTTGCAAAGCCCACCTCAAGTTCTTGTTTGTTTTCAGCTCAAAGTCTGCCTCTTCCATCCTCTCTGGGTGTTGGAGCCCAAAATGTGAGCCCCAGCCCCCACAGAGCCTCACAGCGCATTGTACTCCACACATTTGGATGGGTCTGTTGGGAAGTGCTTCTGGCAAATGGTCATCAGCCTCTTCAGCCCCTGGGAATTAACAAAACAAGGACAATTCTGTAATAAGGCTGCAGCTGTTGAACAAACTTAATAGCCTACAGTATTCTTAAGCTTAACAAGAAGATTTAAAAAGAAAAGGCTGCTATTTTGAGGCTGGGATTTTTATTCTGGTAGTTATTCTGTTTGAAGTTTTGAGGTTCTCTTCAATATTAAAGGAGTTTGTGGCATAACAAAAAAGGCTACAGCTTCAACCCTATCTGGTAAGATTCACAGTGAAGGATCACACTGTGATCCTTCACAGTGAATCCTTCACTGTGATTCACTGTGAAGAAAAAGGGAATTCTTCATTCCCTTCTTTAATTCTTTAATCCCTCTTTATCACCAAGGGAACAAATTATATCATAGTTAAAGATATTTTCAAGAAAGCTGAATATTAAAATTCATTCTAAAGAGCAAAAAGCAATTTCAAAACAAGCTGCAGAGCCAAGGCAAGAACCAAACACTTCTCAGGAGGAGAACTGTGGACACAGGATATCACAGAGGCAAACTGAAGCAATCAAGGAGAAAGG